AATTGGTTTGGTCTTGATACACAGCCCACAGGAGGGTTACCTTGTTGTCAACAGGAGAGTGAGCTCTTTAAAATGTATCAATCATTTGATTCAGCACTGGCAGCGGGGAAAGTATTTAATTAGTCTTAACAAAGTAGATATTGTCAACAGTTATCTTAACTGGTGAGTGGCTACTCTTGGTAATAAAACCGCAACTGCAGATTAAAAAAGGTCAAGTGAGTTACATAAGAGGGTATAAATATTGCCAGAGTCAGGCTTGTTTGTCTTCTCCTGCAAGTGCCAGACAACCTTATCACGGCCCAAGTATAACAACCCATGTACAAAACAGTGCAGCAGCCAACAGGGTCCACAGTGGAAGTCACACTCCCAGGAGGCAGTATGACTGCACAAGGATATTTGTGAATAATCCTGATCAGCTCCAAAGGCTCAGCTTAGTCTGATCACCCATTGCATATGTTTAAGAAGGTAAATAAACAGAGGACTAAGGTCACGTTCATGTTGTTAGGCCTGGGAAAATTCTCTTCATGACACATTCCTCATTTACAGACCAAAAAAAAAAAAAAAGTACAATACTGTAATTGAAGGCAGAGCTTTTATGCATCTTGTACAAGTCACAGGATGTTGATACCAACATACATGATGTTGTTCCTGTGAAGCAATCAGACAAAGAGGTCTCTGTGACAGCAGTGGAATCACTAATGTGTATTTGTTAAGCATGCAATAGTTCCATTCCCAGAGCACTCTCCTCGCAAGGACAACAACAGAGGTCAGAACCATATTTCTTGTGCTCTCCAGATGAACTGTACAGTTGAGTGTAAAGAGATTTATGTTTATGTTTGATGTCCTAGAGGCTCCTGTTACACAATCATCACATGGTTGTGAAGACAAAAACAGGCTAGTTTTCCAACATACACACTCTCAGCTCAAAACACAACGTCTGCACACATTGTATACAGTCGACATTCAGACGTGTCTAACTTCCTGAAGAGGAATGGTTTGCGTGACATTTGTAGAGCCAAGACTTAATATCAGTCACTTCATATCAGATCAAAGAACAGCTCATGACACACGTTTCTTTATGCAACATCCCTTTACTGCATTGGCATCTTGAACCATTTATGCACAAAATTGACATTTTATTTAAATAATAAGCATTGCTTTTAGAACTGTTCAAACCATCACACCTGTGGCGATGCCTTTTATTCACTGATGGGTACTACAGATTCAGAACACAGCTTTGAAGTTGCTTTAAACAGTTCATATCTTGCTACAAAAGTGGCGGGGGAGTAGTAAAGAGGGCCAATCAGCAGTTTCACACAGCACTACAGTTAGCATGTGTCAATCAAAGCATCATTGTTTGTACACCTCATTAACAAGGGACTCCTGAGAAGGCTGTGGCTGCAAATTGTAATCAGATGCAACAACAGCTAAACAGTAAGCACTACACATTCCACCCATGTAGCTGACAAGCTCCGGTGGAAAAGAGGCAACAGAAGGGGTAAAAATCTACAACCTATTACCTGCTTTGTTTTTTTTCTACAGCAACAAGCAATCGCATTAACCAAGCAACCCCCAGCTCCCCCCCAAAAAAACACAACAATCAATCATATTAATAGATGTTTTCCCACCAAACCCTTCCTGAAGAGTTAGTATCCACTAAAGCAGGGGTCTCCAACAGGTAGCAGGTTTTCAGTAGCTCGCCTATAGGTTGACCGACTGTGTTAAAAATAAGAAATCAAAATCTGACGACGGTAAATGCATCCTCTTCCCCAATATTCATATATTAGACCCATAAAAACAAGCATGAAGTACTCATGTTTTCTTGGACACTGATGTGAATTTAAGATTATTGATAAGCATTGGCTTATTGCAATTTCACACATGTGCAAACAGCAGCTTAATTCAGCTGATGTGAGTAAATGCAAGCGATTTGATGCAAGCAGCCCTTGGTCACTTTCATTTTTTTTTTTTGACAGTAGCTCTCAGATGAAAAAAAAAAAAAAAGATTGGAGACCCCCCTGCACTAAAGAAACCCTGATAACTACACACATAGTGATGGCTGATATATGATTATATAATACTACATATGCATAAAGACTACTTACTCTAAACAGGGTTCGAGGAGCTAAAATAGATGATAGTTCCTGCTGTGCATTATGAATAAAGGAAGATCCAAGAACTGTGAAAAAGTTAGTGTGATCTGAAGATACCTATTGGTCAAGTAATAAGAGTACTGTGTGTGTGTGTGTGTGTGTGTGTGTGTGTATTCCTTGTTCCTCTTTTTCTTGCAACCCTCATTTGCAGACAACTCTGTCTCCAATGCACCAATATTTAAAAAAGACATAAAAGTGAAATGTACTCAGTTTAGTGGGATGGATGTAGCTACAGCATGTCATCCCGACTTCAGATCACAGCAAGTAGGCTGACGTTACTACACGACGTACCTGGTGTATTAAACACACATTTCAATGTCTCCCCACCCCCCCACTTGTCTTTACCAATTTATCTACCATGAAGTGTAATGCTGCACAGTGGGGCTCGGGTCCCCTCCTCACCTTCCAGGAGCCGCTGAATTATAGAGTCGATGTTTAGTTTGTCGGGCTCCGCCATTTTCTTTATTTTTCTGACGTTCTCGGGCAGTGGAGACCTTCGGGTTTTTTTTTCCTGCGCTGCACCTCCGATTTCTACGAGATAAAAGACAAAGAAGGTGATGCCAATGTTAAAGCGGAACTCGGAACAATGAATGAGCCCCCTCAGGATAAACACGCTAGCTAGTTAGCAACTTAGCACAAGTAGCTCATGCTAAAAAAAGCAGGTAAACTAGCTGTAGCGAAACATGACGGCTAGTTAGCTGCTGCTGTTGTGTTTTAACTTACATACGGGTTAGCAAGTCCCCGAACCGTCACTTCGGTTTGAGCAACAAACCCCCCCCAGGAAAGGAAAACGGAGAAAATATTGATCCTCTGCGCACAATCCTGACCCCTTTCCTTTCGGTTTGGCTGGGTCCGGTCACTCTTCCCCCAGGAACTTTGTAATAAGGCCGTTTTTTACCGAAGTGTCTACGGTAACGTAGGAGGCTGAGTCAAACCAAGCCCTTCACGCAGTTCTCAGCACCTGATTGGTCATTCCTTGAATTTAACAGCCGGAGCTCTCGATTTTGATTGGACGCCTGCCGGGTCCGTCTTAACACTCCTACCTCAGCCGTTTATAGCTGCATCAATAGAGAGCGGTGGCTCACTGCGACACCCAGTGGTTACTGGTAGAACTGCAGTGTAAAAACCTAGATTAAAATAATTCCACTCTGATGTTTGCCCACAGGAGGCTGGTCTCTGTACATCAGGGATGGGCAACTTTGGTCACAGCAAGGGGCCACATTCATTTAATTCTCACTGCCAGAGGGGCCAAATTGTAGGATACAAAAACGATTACAGTCAATAATGTCTCAAATTTAACTCAACATATACCAGTGATCAAATATTATTATGGACATATTTCTGGTTTTCACGATTTCATGGTAGATTTTGTCATGTTTTCTTCATGTTTCCACTTAATTGATATGTAAAAAAAACTGACCCGAGGGCCACGTTGAGGATTGATGGGGGCCGCATGTGGCCCCCAAGCCGCCAGTTGCCCACCCCTGCTATACATGAACCGTCCGTAGGTGTAGTCAAAGGAAATATGACACATAAGCTCTGTAAAAAAAAAAATCACATTTGTAAGACTATAGCCTTGAGCTTTATTCAGACTCTGAATGGACTTTATAAGAATCTTTAATTTTGTGGCTTTAGTTCCTGATGAAAAACAATTTTATAATGAATGTTCCTGTAATCCAACATTACAACGACTGGTTTCACGTAGGCTACCAGCAGGCTACATGTTTTCGCATTTCAAACAAAACTTGAACTGAGTTCAATAGCTACTTTTTTAAAAGATTTCTTTGGACTTCTTTGCCTTTATTGGATAGGACAGCTGAAGAGAGACAGGAAACGTTGGGAGGAGAGAGTGGGGGATGACATGCAGCAAAGGGCAGAGGTCAGATTCAAATCCATGGCCACTGCAACGAGGACCATAACCTCTGTACGTGTGGCACCCGCTGTCGGCACCCCAAGAACAGATCGCTTCTAGATAAGCATAAAAGAAAACAAAATTGCCCTTTTTTCTGATTTTTATGGTTATGATTTAATCTTCAGCTTGTGTTTGTAATGTGTTTAACCTCTATAAATAAAATGTACAAACTACAGTACAATAAAAAAAGAGAAACAGAGCTGACTTATTTCATGAACACTTTCTTGTAATGTTTAGACACTTATCTTTTTATTGAAAAAAAAAACAGAACATGTTTTTATTTTCTTAAGTGAATGCTGTATGCTTCCCTACTCTGTCTGCCTGTGTAACAGATTGCTATATTTTGTTTTCATTACATTACCTTTTATTACCTCATAGTCATTCCTTCTACATGATCCATTATTCATCTTACACAAAAATCCTAATCTCACCCGTCTCGGTTTCCTAAATAAGTCTCCTACGTTGGTCATCATAGTTTCGACACAGGTAGCTGTGTGTGTGTGTGTGTGTGTGTGTGTTTGGGGTTTGTGACGTGCAGGTATGGAAGCGTGAGCGGGGGAAAAAAGTATCCCAAATGACTCATATTTCTTTTTCCAGCAACTCAGGATTGATACTATAAAAACGACTCACCCAGTATCATCACCGCAATCACAACAATCTCTGTGTTTGAGTGTTTTTTTTATCACTTTTCACTTAAAACCACTGAATCTGAACTGATTTTATTCAGTTGTGTGATAGGTAAGAACTCCTCTAAGCACTATGGCAGCTCTATGATGGAAAAAAGAGAGGGAAACATACGTAGAAGACAAGTCCAGTCTGGTCTTGAGCTCTTTCCCTCCTGTGTACCTTCCTCCAGGAGCTCAGCCCCACCCTACACCTCAGATTCCTCTACAAATACCCCCTTATCTTATCCTGCAGACTTCATACTTGTGCATCAGACAACAAGAAAGGGAGAACCTCAAGGTCTGATTTTTTTTTTAAGATTCCAGAAGTTCAGAGGACAACTTTATTGAAGGTAGGCTTCATTCCAACACACTTTTTTAAATCACATGGTCGGACTGATCTTTGCAAAAAAAAAAAAAAAAAAAGCAGCGATTCTGCAAAAAAATTAGAGAGGTTGTAAGGGTTGTTGGAGGATGAGGTTAATATTTTACTATGTGTAAAATCATGAAAATTGCAAAGTGAACAGTAAAAGGGGAAAAGAGGAAAAAAATGATATGATGCTCTGTAACACTTTGGGATATTTTTTGCCTGTTTAACAAATGTTTGATAAGACTTCACATATCTCACTATAATATAAATAATTGTGTGCAAACATTAGAACAAGCCTCATTTTGAGGAGGGAAAAGGTTTTTTATTTATTTGCAGAAATGGAAACATGATTATAAATTAATTGACGTACTTCCATTGAGCTCTCAGTGTTCCTTCTGCTCTGTATGTTTGTATCCTGGGACGAAAAGGGTCAGGCTTAAAAGTAAATGATGATTTGTCCCAGTGTATCATACCCTCTACTACTTGGATTGAAGCTACCTAAAAATAGTTTGAGGAGATCAGGTTTAATAGTTGTGCTCTTCTGCTTCTGTTCAGATGTTTACGGAACATTTGAATTGTCTGCATGGAGGCAGAACAAAGAGAGCGGCTTCCTTTCTAAACTGATCAAATGATGAGTCTGTAACTTACACAAAAAATGTAGCCATTAATGTAGCCTCTACATTAATGTAACAGTTTTAATTTTGTAATTAATTTAGATGTTCGTGTTTAAGGACACACCAATTCTCCAAAAGATCAATAGCTGTTTAGTAACCATTCATGTGTGTGATATTCTAAAAACCGTCTTGATCTGCTTCTTCTAACTGCATCTCTTTAATGCAAAGACATTTTATAAAAGTTCAACTACGAGGTGTGGGACAATATTCCTTCTACCTGACTGACTCAATCTTTAATTCTCATCCTTATAAAGTGCAATCAGATAGTGTTCCAATAGAACAAAAAAAAAAAAAAAAAAAAAGGCAGATGTTGTGAGGGAGTGGCCGAGTTGAGATCCAGGAGGCCCCGGGCCTGTCGAGACTTGACTTGGTTTTAAAATGTAGCCCTGAGCCACATAATCCTGTGAAGGCCTGTCTGAGGGAGCGGGTGGGCGTTCAGTATGTGATCACAAAAAAAAAACAACCCGCAGATCAACAGTAACACCTCGGCAGCAACACATGAATGAGTCTTCATCTAACAACAACTCCTCCTGAAACAAAGAAGGAAGCAGACTCAACGGTCTTAGCTTAAGACGGGGAAAATGTTGGGAAAGCCAAAACAGTAAAAGAAGGATTCATTTGAGTATGAGTAACTTTGTTGACTTATTCTCTGTCTTCTTTATTTTTTTTTTTATTCAGAATGGGATCTGTCGGAGTTCAGATTGTGTGTGTGGGCCTTGGGCTGCTCGGTCTTGTCGGGGTCATCGTGTGCTGCGCCGTCCCGCGCTGGAAGGTGTCCTCCTTTACAGGAAACAACATCCTGACTGCTGAGGTAAATACAAACTACAACCTCTTCTGTGGAAAAGTAAATGAGCAGAAATGACTGAAATGATGTTATGTCCCCCTGCGTAATCTCTGCAATGTCTTGAAACGCAGGCTTGAAAGTGGTTTGCGCTCCCATGTTGATCGAAAAGAGTGAAACACTTTCAATCCTGTTTAGAATTATGAATTAAAATACGACTACTGTTTCATTTCTAAAAAGAACCTTCAAACAAAATGTCCCTTTTTTGTTGCTTTAAACTTTTGGTTTGTCGAGATTTGGCGCCCCCTGTGGACAAAGCAGTACCTCATCTCCTACTGATGTTGTCTAGATGTGTTTACTGACAGTTTCGGTCCATCCAGCTTAAAACTCCTCATAGGAGCTTTAATGCTTTTCCACACTAGTGAGATCTATTTATGTTGATCTATTTCATATTCATCCAGTTTAAAGGCCTCACAAAACAATATTCTCCATAAGATTCTCCCAAAGAGTGACTGGATCCTATATAGAAAGGCACCATAAAAAAAGTGTTTTGTTGTTCACCTGGCAGCTTTCTGCATGTCTCATTGTCTTTGGATGGATTTGCACAGATTAGCGCACATTGGAGAAAGATTAACTGACCTTTAACTGAAACAGCTAATCAAGTTTTTGAGCTCGTCATGTGTTTGGTCTGAAATAATCTGTATTTGTGAAACTGTAGGGTTCAAATATTTCCTTTTGATTTGCAGTGGAGTCAAAGTAGAAAGCAAAGTACAAGTACTGAATTCAACTCTTCCAAGTAGACTTGATGAAATGTGAATTGACTGACATTTCTTCTTCTGTGTGCAGAGTAACCATGAGGGCCTGTGGACGCAGTGCGTGATGCAGAGTACCGGCCAGCAGCAGTGCAAGAACTTCGACTCCCTGCTCGTATTGCCTTCTGACCTGCAGGCCGCCCGCGCCATGACCATTATCAGCTGCATGCTCAGCAGTCTCAGCCTCCTCATCCTCTTCTGCGGGGCCGACTTCACCACCTGCGTGCAAAACGAAGACGTCAAGCCTAAGATCAACATAATGTCCGGGGTGGGCCTGCTGCTGGCTGGCCTCCTGGTCATCATCCCTGTCAGCTGGTCCGCTCACAACTTGGTGAGAGACTTCAACAACCCCCTTGTTGTGTCAAATAGGAGGGAGCTGGGAGCGTGCATCTTTATCGGGTGGGGTGCCGGCGTGCTGCTGCTCCTGGCTGGAGGTCTGCTCCTCTGCTTCAGCAGGCCAAAGTCAGGCGGCTCTGGTGGAACCGCCAAATACTACCACAACAGTGCATCCGCCCCAAACAAAAACTACGTGTAGTGTTTTTATGAAGGGGAGTAGCGGAGGGGGATGTATTTGGTAAAAGTCTGGCGAGCAACAAAGTGCAGGAGTTGTTTTGTTTTGAAACATAAAAAGTCAATGTAAATACTTTATAATAAAAACCTCCAATGTTTTTCTGCATATATTCATAGTTAGACTGCTGATGTTCTCTGGTGCTGCTTTAGCAATCGGTGAAGGGTTCCACATACGCTCTTTGAAAGGGAAACTTAATAGAACCAGCTGTAAATTAAAGGTCAAAGCAACATTTTGCTGATGATTTTAACCTGTGTACAAAACAAATACCTCCATTTACCTCCATTCAATTTGACTTTTTAAAGTGGTATTCAAGGGTTAACAGAATGAAATGCACTATAATGCAATTGTGTAAAAAAAAAAAAAAAAAAATGTATTTGTTATTTGTTGCTACAAAATTAGCAGATAAATAAAGGTCAACAACATTTCAGGAACAAACAACAGCCATCGGGCCTTTTTGATGCACTAGTGCTTCATATTTGAGTTTAAATAGCCATTCTGTCTGAAATACTTTTTTTAATCACCTTTCTTTTTGTCTTTATTGATTTTTCTGTTTCAATTATCGACAGTCAAGAAAAAGCTCAAATCTGTCTTCAACCAATTTCACCTCAGTCGTCCTCAGGGATCATCTGTGTGCACATTGTTTCTCTGATGACAGTTCCCAAACGTCCAAATGACATTTCAACCTTTTATTTTATTTTTTATTTTTTTAAATATATGTCATATTCTCACTTTGGTTTTTTTTTGTCTCATTTTGTATGTTCATGATTATACATAATTAAAATCTGGTTTAATTCAAGCATGTGTTTCATGTGTGTATTTTTCATGTTTCAATAAAAGAAAAGTCAATTTTTTTTCTCCAAAATACAGAAGACTTTATTTCAAACTAAAAACATATATCAAACCATTTCTTTTCAAACTGACCAGACAACCCAAATAAAAAAAATCAAGCTTAAAGCTTAAGTAAAATGAAGTAACATATTTGTCTGAAATGTCTCCCTTTGTCTCAATGCAATCAGAAGTTAGAGGAGAGCAGCCGTCTCCTCTGCCATGGCTCGGGTGTTTTTTTTTTATCTCTTGTTGTTAACACAGATCTTTTAATGCTTGCTCTCCAGCTCACTCACACGCTTTGTCAGCTCCTCTAACGCTGCTTTCAGGTCTTTCACCTCCTGTTTCAAGGACTGCACCTCCTTAGAGACATACAAAGAGGCAGACAGAAGAGAACGATTAATGACACACAACGTTTCAGGCATTGACAACAACAATCCAAAGATACAGTATGTAACAAATCAGAGGGGGGTGAAGTATTTAGACCCTGAAGTCAGATGAATTAGCAAAAGTATGGAGTCCTGTGTCCAAACGCACTTAAAACATGGCAAGAGATAGAATAATAATATAGAACCCAAATTAATTTAATTTAACTTTTTTTTGTGAAGAGCCCTTGCAGATAGATATGTAAAAAGGCTAAATATTGCATGATTTAGTTTTAATTCAATTGTAAAAACTTGATTAAACTGGTGTCAAATACCGCATATAAAATGCGTGTGGGGTACGACTACAAATAACAGTTTTGCAACTAAAATGTACAAAGTAGCATTCAGCGGAATTTCCAAAGAAAATGAAAAGTAATGTTTCCTATTTGAAATACTTGAACAAATATACCTCTGCCAACGCAGCTCACGCAGATAAGCTTGAAAACGAATTCATTATTTGAATATCTTTTATTGTCTCACCCCGCTGGATCCCTGTTGATTCCCAGCAGAAGTAGTCGTGGTCTTCAGGAGACTCTTGTGGACTTTGAACTCCTTGGCTTTGGTTGTTGCTACAAACCCGTCCTTTAGAGAGATCAGAATAGGCTGACCATCTTTCCCCTGAAACCACTCGTCGGCTTCTACTGAGGGCTCAGGACCGATTGTGTCTGGGTACAGATCCTCCTGGAACAGATCGGACTGAACAGGCAGAGACACAGACACTGAGTTAAAGACAGCAATTTTTTTTTTAATTATCCAAAAACTAATTTTTGATGACATTAGTCTGTATTGCATGATAATATTGGTTTGTCACTAGTATCCACTGATGAATGCATTAGAATCAATCATCTACACTGGCTGTAAATGAATATACAAGCAAATATGACAGGCAGGTAAGATTGCACTATAAGGCAATATACCAACATGATGCAAGCTGTTGACTACTGAGACAACCCATTGCAAGAATCTACACTCCGATACACTAGGTGGCAGTTTCACCTTTAAAATGTTATAAGGAAACACTGTGCATCTCTAACGTTACAGCTAGGGCAGTGTGGAAATAAATTGTACCTTGCGTGGCACCGTCATGATGATGGGCTCACATTTCCTCTCATGGAGTTTGTAGAACCTTGAAGAGAGAAATAAAAAGAGAGATCACTGATGTAGGTATGAAGCATTGTCTCAGCACATACAGGTCTACAAAAAAAAGCTTCATGGCAATGATGTGGCAGCAAAAGAGCCACACCACCACTGCTATTCAAAATCACTGAGCTACTTTTGGTTTAATCAGGACAGTAAAGTCACTACCTGGCTATTTCACATTTGTTGACCTCCAGGCCCCTCTTGGGCATGTAACCCACGCCCTTCTGGCTCTCCTTGCTGCTGTACATGGACAGGTAGTGGACATAAGGCGCTTCATCCGTCACCTCAAAGTAACGGATGCTGCTGTCTCCCTGTGACACAGATGTAAAATAAAAACTAAAACAATCAACTGTATGTTTCCATGTGGGTGAGGTGGGGAAAGGAATTTGTTTCAACATCCAAATCTAACCTTGCCACAGAGGTAGACGACTCCGGTGTCTGGGTCAAAGAAAGGCAGAAGAACGCCGCTGCTGGTGTCCAATTCCTGCAGGGTCAGCGGCTCTTTAAAGTTTTTCTAAAGAAACAGATTCCGATAAATTAAGTTATACCTTTCTATATGTACCAATGTTATATCCTCAATAAAGACAGCGGCAGACTACTGGTAAGCCAAGGATTCGTTTAACTGAGACTGAGGTGAGACATTGCAGAACAAAAACACTTTAATGCTGTAAGCTTGCAGTTGTGAAACAGCAGTGTTGTTAATACAATTAATTACTGCTATGTAAGAAGAGAGTTGCACAAAAGGTCTGCCTGTCAAGACTTTGAAACAAGATCCAAAGTAGCCCTCCCTTTGTCCTGAAATATTTATGTCACATTGGTGTTTCACCTTGTTGTCACATGTATCTGCTGATGGAGGAAAGTCTCTCTGTGGTCTTTTAAATGTCGCTTTAACACATAATTGTAAGTGCAGGGAGTTTATGACAATATTTTTTGCGATAATATTGCAACTGGATCTACTAAGGATAAGAGACAGCTTGTGTTCAGCAACTTTTCATAGACACAAAATCTTCATTCTATTCAATCACTCCTAACGCTGGATTAGAGGAAGATTAAATTCTTCACAAAGCAGCTGAACATTTTTGAAGACAGTCCATTTAAAAGAACGTACTACCATCAAAGCTGAGGATTTCATAATAGCATAAGAAATGTATCACAGCCAAAAACACACAGTATGGGGATTATAAGGCATAACTCATGGGCAGAAAAACCCTAATGACATATCCGACAACAATTTGTCAGAGGTTTCAAGTAAAATCTTGCCCATGCCCAAGTGAGGGAGTTCATTTTCCAGGGGGTTGAAATAAGCACCATGAATCTTCAAATCTAAAATGACGACATGTCCTGATTGAGACCGAAGCCCCTGTTGAACACTCTTCTTCAACTTGAACATGTACGTAGGTTGTTGACACTCACTGGGTCCCACAGCGCCACCTGCCTCTCACTCATGCGACTGAAGCCGGTAGTGAGGATCTTCCCGTGTGACACAAACACCGCCCTGACAGGCCGGGAGCCCTCATGAGGCTTCTCCTTCTCCTGTGGGAAGAGCACAGACGGAGGTGTTACACAATACCATCAACCTTAAAAGTAAAAAAAAAAAAAAAAAAAACATTTCCTCTCTTTCTTCTTCTTATCTTGCCTGAGAGCTAAAAAAATAATGACACATGAAGTTATCTATAATGTGTTAAATAATTATTGATTAAAAATGTTCAAATGCAGACTCATAACTCAAGAGTTCATGGCTAAATGTACTGCTTGTGGTCATGTTTTTTTTTTTTTCTTTTTTTTAAACTTACAAGGAGTACGGTGCCCTTACGGGGGTCCAGCACCCGCATGGTCTTGTCCTTGCAGGAGGTGAGAATCTGGGAGCCGTCATTGTTCCAGCAGGCGCTGTAGATCATGTCAGTGTGCACGCTGTCGATCCTCACCATCTCCTCCCCACGAGCCACGTTCCACAGGATCACCACGTTATCACAGCCTGCACGGACACAACGTGGGGGAAAGAAACAGGTGAAAAACTGCAGGCCATTAAAATACATCATGAGTCAAGATCACATCAAGTCCCAGGTTTGTTTACAGTAATATGTTGTAGCAGAAAAGGTGCAGGCTGCACCCTGCTGCACGGCAGAGCTTCTGTGAGGGAGTGGGTGTGGCCCAGCAGAGGAGAGAACATTTCATTTCCTTTGTCCTGAATTTATGTTGAAAATGAATGTTGTTATAGTGAAATAAAGCTGTCATATCTTACCTGACATCACTGAACAGTACATTATTATGCTGAACTTATTCTAAACATTAAATAGTCATAGGAGCACAGCTGAAAACAGTCAAGCCTACATTTGGAGGACGTACTGGGTTATTCTAGACTAGAATGTCCTTCAATCAAAAGTTATAATGATATATATCAGCAGCAGTTGAAGCAGGACAATAATTTGATTATTGTTCATCCAATTTATCTTAACTTAATATAATATCATTGTTTTTAGTACAGTCCCATTGGCTCCCAGCTGATAGTGTCGTTGTTCAGCTGGTTTTAGGAGTTCTGTTCATGTGAGTTTTTTAAGGTGCCGGCAACAATCTTGGCATGTTTTTTTTATGACAGTGTGACAGTCTGTCGGCTTGAAAATCTGATTTTGCTGAAATGAAAATGATTTATGTGAAATGAAGAGACTAAAACGTACTTCTTAGATAAAACAGTTAGTGAATATGTTTTCCTTTTGGCATAGTTTTCAGATGAAAATGGTAAACATCACAAAATCAGTCATGGCAAGTTTGAGGCTCATTAAAAAATACATCTCTGGGATGTCATGTAAGTTCACCAGAGAAGCTTCTCTAATATAAAAGTTATATATCTGCCCAGAGGCTGTCTGTCAGCCTGTCTGCACGCTGGCTGTCATACCTGCACTCATCAGCACGTTGTGAGCGGTGGGGTGCCAGCTCAGGATGCCCACACGTTTGGAGTGTCCATCCAGCTTAACCACCGGCTCTGTGAGAGGCGTTGTCAGCCCACCATCTGGGATCTCCCAAATCTATTTACCAAGGACACATCATATACACTGAATTCAGATATTTATGTTTAACAATTGGAGTGCAGTGTAATTTCACAAAGTTTCCCGTCGTGTTTCCAATCATGTCTACCATGACACTGCAGTCCTCAGAGCCACTCGCGATGATGTTGTCATTATGAGGACAGAACTCGATGTCCAGGACCGGTCCCGTGTGGCCGCACACAGTGGGGTAGGACATGTCGATACGTCCCGTCTACCAGGGAGAGGAAAAAAGAAAAAGAAAAACTCATCCTTAGCGTGACAAGACAAGAAACTTGCAGCTTCTAAGGTAATGAGAGCAGGTTAGTTCAACACAATGAGATGGGAGGAGGGAGTTTAAAGTCTTATGAAAAATACATAACAGCTGGTGTTGTGGTGCTCAGACTCGGTGTTGGTGTAAAGACAGGCCTGGAGACCACTTTTTGAAGGTCTCGTCTTGGAATCAAAAGCATTTTTACTCGGTCTTGTCTCGGTCTCAGACTGGGCGGGCTCCGGATTTTAAATCAAGGGGCGGTCAAGACCAACACCGATTGGCTATTTTTCCACATCATTACAGTGATTAGAAGCAAAACGCCCTGCACAGGACGAGTTATTCCACGTCACCACAGTTCATCTTTGGGATTTTATGCCCCGCTGGTTCCCTTGAATATTTCTTCTCCCTTGAGAAGTCTATAAACCATCAGGGATAAGACCGGGAACAATGTGGTCTCTGCAAGGTTCACTGAACTATTCAGCATCTTTAAATACAACACAACACACAGATTCATACCTGAGTTACAGGAGAGTGAAGGTATGATGTTGGACGTCTAGTCTTTATTTCTATATCACCTGTTTTTCAGTATTTCCCAGCAGAATACACCAATACTCACTAATCATACAATTACTACGTGTAAAAGGTTGTGTAAAAGATGACGGTAGTGTCTGAAAGGTAGTGAGAGTTTAGGTTTAAGTTAAATTGTCTGACACTTAAAAAAAGACTAATAGGCAGTTAAGAGTAAATATTTCTGGCTTTAGCAAATAAACTGTTGAAGATTTTTTAATGAGCTCTTTATATGGAAGCTTGGTTGATGCTTTTTTAGACATTTCAGACCTGCAGATAATCTGTTTCTGAGACCACAGGGAATGTGCATTTGTCCCGAAGAGAAGCCTGTCTGAGTTCAAACACGAGTATGAACAAGGCCACAAGGTTCGCATTTTGCCACTCTTCTTTTCAGGCACATAAAATGCAATGAAGAAGGTTGAAGACACCTAATGTACGCCACAAGTGAGTGCAGAACAAGCAGGGTTGAGGCCACATCCTGCCCTTGCTGAACAGACAACCAGTCCTAATATGGTGAAAACTTCTCAACAGCAGAGCGAGTGACGTGTACAAAGACCCAAAGTCTGCATCCAACTTCCTTATTTAGAGTGTGTGAGATTGAGAGGCAGAATTCAAATTTTTCAAATGTAAGGGTGGCGTTCAAAGTGAAAACCCGACGGCAGTTTGCGTCTTATGTGGTTGATGCATCCAGAAAAAGATCAAACGAGAAACAGAAGGACACGAAGAGAAGAGCAGCAGATCTGTTCTCTTCTTTTCAAGCCAACACAATCAGAGCGATTCCCCGTGCATCACCTTGGTCAGGGGCAACACGATGAAGGCTCCTCCACCGCTGGCGTCCACGATCATGGCCACAAACTTGGGGTTGACGGAGCAGAAGAGGCTGTCCCACGTCATCTGGGAGATTCGTATGTCATCGTAGCATTGGTCGGCCTTCACAGCCTGGCCGAAGACGTGACGGAACTTACTGGACCTCACAACCTTCCTCGACATGGTGAACTGGAACGAGAGCAAAGTTTAACATGAAGTCATGGCTCAGTGAAACCCTGTGGCAAAGTCTAGAAAGGTTTCCTTTTGCAGATATCCCTCTCTCTGTGCAATTCAAAGGGACACCAAATGCCAAAATAGTTGTTTATCGAGACTGAAATACTCAATTTTAACTTCATAAAATAAGTTACTTAATGAATTCCCTTAATAGTTATACTGAAAGATGCATGTGAAAATAAACCGACAGACAGGGGGCTGACGCCACAGCTTAAAGACACGACAGAGGAAAGCTGAAAAAGAGGAAGCTCAGTTTCACAACTGCTTCCTCTAGTCTGCTGCTGGTACTCGGCGCCCCTTCTGTATCTTTTTTCGCCTCTATTTAGAATCTATTAGTTCGCTAAATGATTGTGCATGCTCGAACAAGACACACAACAAGAAATGGGATGACACGGGACAAAAAAAACAGTGCTATTTGTTAGCAGATGTGCTGCACGTGTTTCAAAACTACAAAGTGCAAGGAGTTACCCAAAGCAGCAGTTACACCACATCCTTAAGAGAGAGCTAAAAAAAAAAAACACACCGACCTTTCTCTTTTGCTGTGCTTCTAATTTACACACTCATGTTCTCATTGATTTTCCCACAGTTAGGCACTTCTGGAAGTATAACATTTAGCAAGTCTAGAGAAGAAACATGCAGTACATTTAGCTTTTAGCAACTAAGCATTCTAAATTGTACAAATGGGGTTTGAAATCATGATCAAGTTGAATAAAGAGCAGCTGCAAAATAAACCAACTCTTTCACTTTTTAACAACAGCCCCTCCAATCAAAAACACCAAATATGTTTTGCTTTACCTCCATTTTTCGCCTCGACTTCCTGAAATCTGCAGCCGCACCTCAGCTCAGACTCAGATACAACAGCTTTGCTGCATGTGCATCACAAGACCTCTCTCAGCTCTGTCCCTAATTTAATAAGCCTTAACAGAGTGAGCTGTAATTTTATCAGCAGTCTAAATGCATGTCAATAATTTGCGTCTCTCCCTCTGTTGTGACGGGAAACATCGGCTTGTACAAAGTAGGAAACAAATGCACTGAGTCGAACACGAGCCATGTGGAACATGAGGATGAGAGCTGTCCAATTTGAAATCGATGAAGTTATCTTTTGGGTGTTCATAGTTCCTGAATGAACGTGTTATCTGCGGAGATGTAGGTGTAAACGAACAGTGAGACAAAGCACAGGCGTATGCTGCAGGCCTACCTGGGAGTCGTGGGCGGTCAGTTCAGCTGAAGGAGTCTCGGCAGTGCACCAAACAGCCTGCCACCAGAATGAGAACTCAGAGGAGATGGTAGGTTAAAGTACATCACAACACAACATTTGAGGAAGTGACGGCTTCAAATGATGGTGGAAGTGGGAGGTGATGTATTGGGGTTTAAAAAAAAAAAAAAAAGAAACTGCCACATGAAGGGGAAGACTGAGTTTTTATGAGATGTTGAAGAAGTTTGTGTTTGGCTAAAGGTGTCAGAACTTTACATACTTACATTTTTAATGTAGTCCAGTCTGCTCCTGCATGAAGCAGAATCACCTCATTTCGGAAAGTGTAAAAATCAGTCAAGTTAAGAAACATTGTAAGTTCACTGAGATGCTGGATTGAGTGCTGGAGGTGCATTTAACCCTGAAATGAAATGTCAAACCATTAAGGCTAATCTTTTCTGTTTTTGGACGATAAGAAACGTTCTTACACTTGACTGTGCCTTTTTGTTTTTAAATGATAGTCCCACACCTGTCCTATGGTTAAACTGTCTGGTCCCAGGCCAACCAGTTATTAATCAAATCTGTAGAGTTCATTTTACAATTGGGCCTTCAGGACAAAAAAAACCCAAAGAAGACATCATCACTGAGTCTAAGTCAATACAACATTTTCAGTTCGACAAATTGGATTGACTTCCATTATGTAAAGCTTCAGTTTAAGCGTTGAGTTTAAACAGGCTTACTCCTCAGCCTTTCTGCAAATACATACAGAGACTACAAGGCTGCAGCAGATACGGCAGAGCAGCTTCAAATGGCTTTTTTCTGTGAAAGGAGCAACATCCTGGAACTGGCTAATCCTTGTAGCTATGTCATAACTAAATGTGTGGCTTATTGTATCTCGCTGAATCCAGTTTAAACTGTTTGAAACTTGTATCTACACAAAAGCTCTTCTAGGGACAGCATCCGCTATATATACACTACGATACTTGCATCCGGTGGCTGTTTTCAGTTTGTCTATGTATATTGTATCCGTGCCTATCAAATAAACCACACATAAATAAATAAATTATCAGAGAAAAACATTTGGATGAAGCTAGCTGTGCATGCTTCACTGAAATTAAACTAACTTTGATTCATGCTTATTGCGTCCTGTCCTGCGTGGTTGTTGATGTCTTTGTTATTTATGTTGTATGTTAGTATTCTCTTCGTGCAACACATATTCCACTTGGGGCACTAAAGGTTTCATCCATGCATTCAAATGTGGCTCTCCCCGCCCCCCCCCCCCACAAAAGATGGTGTTATCTTCAGTGATCATTAATTAATGATGTGATGTCAGTCTGATGAATTGGAGGGACTTCAACTTTTCTCTGACGCACAATTTTTTAATTCCTTATTAATGTGTATCCCGCACCTTGCTCACTTTAATGGACATTCTGTATCACTGGAGGGCCGTGTTAAACCCTTAAACTTGAGCTAATACTTTTAATTAACCTGAGCAATTAGAAACACACGCTCTAATCTACTCCTTGAAGACATGAGGTCGGGTCATTTCTCATCTTTCTATTATTGCAGGGTTCATCTAATTTCACCGTGCCTCATCAGACTCCTGGCCATCCTAACTGCTGGACGAACTCCAGTGATTCCTCTTACATGAACCTGAACTGAAATTAGACTTCATCAGCCTCTTGCTGCTTTACAGTATAAGAGAACTTCATATCTACTTGTATCCTGTGCTCCTATTCATACTGGTACACCTAACTTTAATGCAAACATATTCTCAAAATAACCCCAATTCTGAAGTATAAGCTTTAATATGTTCATATTACTATCTGCTCGTCTTTGGCTCTCACCAAGTTCTACTACTGAGAGTCACTTTACGTCTTTGCCTTCTGGGATTTTGCTTCTATAATTGTGGGGAAATGTTTTCCTTTCTTCACATGCTGAAAACATCTGTCCTTGTTCAGAGTTCCCCGACCAAAATAATGGACATCCTTGCCCAAAGTCATCAGAAAATGACAGCCTCAAACCTTCCCAATCTTCACTTAAGAGCCCGATAAATCCACAGTTACGTCAATGAAGAGAATCTTGACCTCGATTTTCAAGGCAAGTCTAGAAAGTATAAAACTTTATCAACAGATTTAAGCTTTTATTACGGAGGAAACAGGGTGAGATTTGAGGGGCAAATATGGTAGCCAATTCAAATATACTTGAATGTCTGTCGACTCATCCCCCAATGTCATGTCTAGCTTTATATAGCATTAGAAAGCCCCGTTCCTTTGGCTAATGATGTATGTCTTGGTGTGAATATATACAAATGGTACAAGAAATATCCCAACATGATAACTACCCAAACATGTCAAACTGCAGTAGTACACACCTACTGAACTACATGTTCTCAACCTTTGGTTAAAATTAGCATGAGGTCAAAGTTAGCTTCTCTTTGACCTCATGCTCTGAATCTTAATTTCTTGTTAGAGGTGAAGAAGAGACTAAATGTCTACACACACCAAGTCCTCAACCTCGCACAACAGCACACATCTAAGTAAGAGAAACAGAGACAAAATAAAAGACCTATAGCCAGGTTTAAAAATATAGACTTCAGTTTATTGCACAATCGTTGCTGGAGACTGAGGAGTGTGAGAGCCTGTCTGTTACACAGAACATTGATGATGGACAGACAGGTGAGCTACAGCACAGGAACAAACTTGTCTGTGTTCATGCGCATTCATTGCAAGCACACAGACCGGGATAATGAGGCACTCTGGGGGACGCAATCAGGGCCCCCCCCCCCCCCCCCGTCAGTGCAGAGAGGGAGAAAGTAAAGTTGACAGCATACACGTTTCATGCTTGTATGGGTCCTACAGGAGAGCTCATACACACATGTCACACATACACGGTCGGGGGAGTATAAAATAAAACAACTCTGGGGAGGAACTGCAAGCCAGAGCTGACAGTTTTTACAACCTGTCAAATTAGTTTCATTTGCCTGCAATATGGCTACAGTAATGCCTGCATCAGTGCACATGAACTTCCACTAGATGGAGCCACACCCACTCCCTTGGACGTTTGACTTTGCGGATATGAAGAGACAATAACAGACAGACCCTCTGGAAAGCTCCCTCCATCCAAAAGCAAAGGGCTCGTCTCATGATCTGTACACATTGACCAGTGTTATTATTAGGATTCCACAGAATAACAGTAATCATAATAATCAGTATATAACAATACATGTAATCCTTTATAAACAGGTCATTAACAGGCTATCCGGCACCTGTGTTATATTAAAAAAAAGAGTATTGTTTTGTTAGTGATGTGTTCGAACATCCGTGTCATTTTCTTTTTTCTCATATAACATACAGACAAAAAAAGGACAGAGATTAATTTCCCAGGCCAGGTTCCACTCCTGTGACATGGTTAGGAGAGAAAAAAAAAACTCCCCGATTTCCACCTTCTTTTCTCCCTTCTGTCCAATCTGTTCCCCCCCAGTCCCCAGCACAAACAGACTGGACAAAGAGGGCAGGTGGAGGTAGATGCAGCCATGTTGCAGACCGCAGAGGTCAGGTCTCGGATGTTACAGCTACTGTTATGGCACCCTGAGAAGTGGGAGACCCAGGATGTTAGAGCGAAGGGAGCCCTCCGTTACAGCGGATCAGAGAGAGCTGCTATTACCCAAAACACACAAATCACCGTTAATGATCCTTTCGGCTGATAATGCATAGATAGACCAGCGGTAGTCACGAGGTATTCACATGCCCGCCAAGATTACCCCGCAATGGTCACAAATGTCTTTTCCTCATGTGTCGAAAAAAAAATAAAAAAATCATTCTTACATTTAAATGCACAGGAGCATTTTTTTTTTGTTAGGGTCACAAAGGGGCACTACACTGAATCCAGTTGTTTTTTGTTTTTTTTGTGTCGTTCACATACAGATGGACGTAGCGAAGCAAACGCGTCTCTGAAATGAATCCAAAGCACTGCACCGAGCGGCTTCCCTCTTTCATTATTAGCTTTGGCTGTGAAAGAGAGCAGCAGCGCATCGATGGCAAATCCCGTTTTCTTACGTTTCTGTCCTTTACATATCGTGTATCAAAACTGAATCAGGGTATATGGTTTGCACTGTATGTATATATCATCTACATACATGTATTTACATTATTTATATGGACTTTAAATAGGTTTCAGAATTGATTTGACTTCCGTCCAAAGCCCTTTTGAGAGCGATGAACAGAGCAGTTTGTTTGATAGTGATGTAATGCCTCAATGCTCAGTCATAACGACACCCCCCCGCTACCACCATAATCATTTCTTAGAGCCAGTGACGTGACCTGTGGAGGACTGGAATTAGCAAATGCTAACAATTTGTAAGTTTCTCAGCTACGTTCATGCATTATTATTTTTAAGTTTCATTCAATGGCCAATAATACGTCAGTTTCAGTTTTTACATTGTACTACGGTCATAGCAGGTATTAATCATTGTGTCAGAATGAGACGGCATCGTGAGAGGAGGGAGGAGTAGAATGGCTGGAGGTGCAGTCTCAGGCTAGTGTACGTGACTAAGACTGTGGGAAATCCTTCTTCACCTATGAGTCAGTGTTAGCACAGGAAGCAGAGGATGTGCAACACCTCAGACGAAGCCTGTTTGTCAAGATGAAGTGGGACTGACGGAATTGGCAACTCTAGGGTGTGGGCGGCTGGGACTGTTGGCATGGAAAAACAAGTGCAATGTCATTAAGAAAAGTAAAGTTGGCCTCTGAGGGAGAACCCCCCCCCCCCCCCACTCTAAAGTCGCTCGTCTTGAGCACAAAGAAAGGGAGCAACTTAAGAGCAGTGACTGAAACAGCATGGAGGAATAATCATGGACATCTTTCACAGACATGGTGTGACTTTTACGTTATAAGAGGATGTAAAGGGTTCATTCCTGTTTGGCAAAGCCAGCTTTATAAAACACAACTCCATTCTAACTCAAAAAAAAACTGTTCAAAGTGTTACAATAAAGTGCAAGTCAAGTTATGCTCTGTCACAGAACACAAATCCTGCTGCACGGCAAAAGCAGTGCATTTCAATACCAACGCATACAGTGGCAATAGTGTGACCTGCTATGTAGCATTAATGGCTGACCCTTATAATCCATCAGTAAGTAGGGTCAATGTACAGTAAACACCCCAGATATAGTAAACATTTCCTTTCTAGCCAGAGTAAAAATGAGATGAAAATAAAATCTTCAGAGGAGCGCTGCTTTAAAAGTCAAATACTCGATCGCTGAATTTGTGTAAATGTTATATGAACTGAGATAGATCTATTTCTACAATATTAATGGAGTCAAAAATCGGTGAAAGCAGTGTGTGTGTGTGTGTGTGTGTGTGTGTGTGTGTGTGTGGGGAGGGGTGGGAGGATAAGCAGCTAATCCTCTAGATTTGCATGCTCTGAATCAAACAAAAGATTTTCTCCGACCTCTAACTTGACCTGTCAGCCGGTGATCCTGCACAGCATCAACAGAAAACTGTATAGCTAGCCTACATGTGCACAACTATCGATGTAGCAGCAAACAAATAAATAAAGAATAATAAATAAAATCTATTTCCTTACAGTATTCTGTGCACGGTGTGCTGATACAAAGGTCGGCTTTGAGTGCGTGTTGCTGCCACATGCTCGTCCAGATCGATTGTTCACATGCTGGCTTCTCATTCAAACGTAGTCGTCATTAAAAGCGTTTTTTTTTGTTTTGTTTTGTTTTTTTAACTGTTCTGTTGTTTGAAAGTGAACATTAGAGAGCTATTCAACAACAGATGTGCATAAAAACATTTAAACATATTAGACAGTTAATAACTTAAAACGTATCTTCTGTGTAAGGACAACCTTTGTTAACTTTAGAGCCTATCATAAATATTAAAAGAATAAATAACACAGACTTATCCAAACAGTAATGCTACTGAACAACACAGCTTGTAAACGTGTGAACTTTCCTTTTCTGATTTAAAAAAAAAAAAATGCCTCGGTTTCCATTGGCACTTAGCTCAGGCTGCAAAACAGAGCAATTAAGACTGTAGGATTTCTCCTAATGTGCAGTCTTTCAAGCAAGGTCAACTCGTGGCTAACATGCTAGCACGCTCAGGAATGAACCTTCTCACCCATCTCCAATTTCATCTCACTGAGTGACAAATCAGATCGATGCGCGTCAATAAAAAAAATTTAAAAAAAGGAGGCAGCGGCAGGAAAACAAGGAAACAGTGGACAAGACAACCGGTCCTGTGAAACTCAAGTCACTTGGACGTAGTGAGAACTCGATGAGTGCTGCGTGCAATACTTTATGTACATGTAGTATTCAAAAACGTTGGGAGAGAGGGTGTCAGCGCGTTGTGCTGTGTATGCTGTGTTCATGAGTTTAGATATGGATGTGCTGCATAGGTAGCAACCGTGACATCTGAGAGGACTCGAGTGTGTGTGATATCATTTAGCCGCAGACTCTCTGAACGGACCGCTTCAAATAAAGTTTAACTTCTACTATTAAGTACAGGCTTTAAAATCCGCAGGAACCTTTAACTAGAGCCGTTACCTAAGACTTTATAGTAATGTTTGTTAGATTCACTGGCTTGAATATCTCTATTATCCTCTGTGTGTGTGTGTGTGTGTGTGTGTGTGTGTGTGTGTGTGTGTAAGTGTGTGTGTGTATACACCTGCTCGTCCATGTTTACGGAAAGTGAGAGAGTCAAACTGCTTGTGCGTGTTACTTGACAAACTTTTGCCCGCTTTCGCACAAGATGAACGTAGATATGAACATTCTAAGTTGGAGCGCATGAGATGAACACATGCACGGACAACATCTCGTCTGACCTTACCGCATCAGCCCCCCCCCCACTCCCTGCTCACATCCCCCCCCCCTCCTCCCCCAGAGGTCTTTCATTGACCACCCCAGTGCTTCTTGTCTGGGGGTGGGGAGGGGGGGAGGGGCTGTGGGAGGGGTCAGTCTGAGGGACAGTTGTAGCTGTTGATCCACAACAGGTCGTCCAGCACGCCCCAGTGCAGGTAAAGGATGGAGCCTACCACCAGTACATGCATGATCTGGTGGCTGTTGCACCAGTAGTCAAAGAGGCCCGGACGGAAGCGCTCCGGGATGCGCATGATGTTGATGACCCCGCCCAGCACGGCCAGCGCGTCCATCGTGAGGAAGTGGCGTAGCGACGTGGGGCTGCCGCCGCCGACGCCCACCCAGCGCAGCAGGAAGAAGGAGAAGCGGAAAAGCGCTTGCCAGGCAAAGGAGCGCAGCCGGCGAACGCTGCTCCGAGCCGTGACGGCACAGTAGATGGCGTGGCTGGAGAGCAGGATGTAGACTAAGAGGGCCACGGTGCGGATGAACGGGTAGCACAGCAACGTGCTGTAGACGATGGGCAGCGCCCCTGAGACAAGGAAACACACAAAGGAAAGTAAGAAGAAGAAAAAAAAAAAAAAAAAAAGACGGAGCGCTGATGTCTTACTCAGCAGCAGCCACTCAAACGCAAAGAGGTCGAGGTGTTTGAACCTCGTTAGTCGCTGTTCTCTGAGCTCTCTGTTCTTCAAGTTTTTTGCACAATTAGTCTTTAATAGAGAGTAGAAGCTGAAGAGAGATGAAAAAGGTGGGACAGAAAGAGGGGATAATGAGCATCACAAAGCTCAGCTGTAGTTTTACAAGGAGAAGGAAATGGGAGAATCTGCTGAAGAAATTGAATAATTGCACTTCAGCCTGTTGTTCTGCAAAGCAAATCATTTCAAGTAGTCCCCTTCAGCAATGGGGAATTAATACACTTCTAATGAAATCATTTCACAGAAGCAAATGTTGGTTGAAGTGATAGACTCTCAGACTTTTAGTATTAATTATTTGTTTCTTTACAGCATCAAATCCAAGCTAGGGTTGATACTTTTCTTTTTCTTTAAGGAAAAGAAATAAGGTCCAGGCATGTATCGCCATTCACTTTCAAGGAACAGCTGTGTCCTATTAACGCTGCCTTAAGGAGAAAACCTATGTTAAGAAAGGTTGAATGACAAACGTATATAACAATGACATTTTGAATTATTACTCTGTTGTTATTATCAGATATATATGTGCAGCGTGGCCAAGATACACTGCTTGTTGAGAGTGCATTAATAAAAGTAAAATATTGCCCTTGTCATTGTTTATTATAGGCGAATACAGGCAGCAGAGGCAGAACAGTAATCATTTCAGAACTTGGATTATTGCTTGGCATAGGCCTCTTGACTCAGTTGTCAAATTTGCTCTGACAGATCAATACTGGTAAACCTCCACGCAAAAGACTTCATGTTAAATCACTGACAATCAATGAAGAGAAGTTCTGCCCCTCCGAGCACACAGCGCGGCAATAACGCACAAGTGCTGCCCACGTCGAATGCAAAAAACGAGTGAAAAAAAAAAAAAAATGTGCTGAGGCTCACCCAGCGTGTTGATCATGCAGATTCCACACACGTCCAGTTTGAGGAGGGTGTGGTAGACGGGCTCGCCTCCCTCGTGGTTCATGAAGAGGTGGTAGAGCACGGAGCCCAGCTGAGGCGACAGGCAAGCCAGGAAGTGGACCACGCCCAACCAGGTGACGCTGATCTGGGACCAGGGAATGTTGAGAGGCAGCAGCACCAGGAAGCAAACCAGAGGGATGCCTGGGATAAGAGATAACACAGGTTGTTGCTCAACTGTGACTTTAAATAAAGCTCATATGATGTGCCTGTGAAACAAATCCCTTTGTTGTACCTTTTGTGGGCAGACTTTTTGCAATAATGTTATCAATTTAATGTTCTTCCCCCCCCCCCCCCCCCTTGTGGATGTGTAGGGATCGAGAGAAAACAATACCTTCGGTTACATGAACACTCCAGCACGATAAAATAATATAGAAACTTTGACAAAACCAAATTAAGTTGCCATGTTTACTGTGATGGATTATCTAGCTCAGGACTTTTGAAGGCCCGGGGACGCGGCTTGTTTTATAACTGTCCAAGAGCGAGTCGCAGCAAAGGGCTCCCAACAACGCTGAGTGTGTGCAGACACCAGCAAGAATACTGTGGAGCGGAGCGGAAACCCACATGATTGGCACACATGTATCAGTGTTACCCTGTGAGGGAGAGACAAGGCTCACGCTGAGCTTTTGATTTTCATGCAGCAGAGGGCCACACTGCTAATGCTACCTAGTTCAAATTGGAGTGTCTGTTCTTGGCACAGAGAGGCTGCTCACTGCTTTGTGAGCAAAAAAATCCAGACCTTGAAATTTGATCCACATCCAGTTGTTACGATCATTTATCATGCATCAACCCCCCCACCTTTTTTTTTTTTTTTTTGCTCACTCTGCCTTTCCCAATGTCAGAGACCAGCCAGGTGATACAGGCAATGCCATATACTGTAACACATCTATTTTAAGTATGCTATCTCTGCTCTCCCCCCCGACCCCCACCACCCCACCCCCCACACACACACACGTCCATGCAAAGACAACTGGCCTTTCTCAGCTCCTATGAGGGCTGAATCAAAGCTCTGAGAGTTGTGCACAGGGTGTGAAGAGATATGCAAACAAACCAGTTTGTTAAACTTCACCTTAAATGTTTAAGCATGAGTAACAAAGAAGAAAAACAAGACAAGCACTGCTCTGCATACTTTCTCCTGAATTTGAAAGAACTGGACAGAAGCCCACTGGATTAAACATCGCTTCTTTATATAGACGGGCGGCGTTAAAGGCGCATTGTAGGTTATAAGCTCAGCTGACGTCACTGGGCTGTTATCAAGCCTTCCAGGGCCACTTCCCTGGTGATCATCACTGCAGTTATTGTGCGACTAGCTGGCGAGTAAAGTGCCATGAAGTGACGACCTTCACAACGAGGAAGTTGTCAGTGGCTCAGAAGTCACACAAGCACACGAAGGGTGAACTCGCTGCACTCTTCACGGCTTTAGGATGCAATTTTTAATGCACGTAATGGGGGGGGGGAGAGAGGGGCAAAGAAACATGTTGCCAGGCAATTGGTGGTGTCATCATTTTAGTCTGAGAATAGTATAAAAGTGTGTAGATTGCTAACATGCTGACACACAGTCTAACCTCTGGTTGCACAGATCACAATATAACTGGAATTAATTGTGACGAGCCCTGACCTATTAAAACAGACATATTTTTGTGTAATAAATAAATTCCTTCTTATTTGATAACAGATGGTTTTCATAACCGTTCTTCATTGAATTGGACCTGAAAGAATTTCTCTCATTGGTTTTTTTAAACTGTCTTCATCTTGGCAGAGATTTACATGACATTTTAAATCAAACTTAACTCTACAACGTGTCACACATACAGTAAATATTATTTGGTGTTCTTTTTTTTTTTTTAAAGAATTATTTTTGGCCTCTGTTTAGTTATAGTTATGCTTTGAGGACTAAAGCCTCAAGAATATGGGGCGTGCAAACTAACCACTTAGGCCAACCTGCGCCCCTGTGTTTTAATCATCAAGAAAAACATGCTTTTTCTCTGCCATCACAATCACTTGGTTAATTATGTTAGAACTGTATGACAACTTTCAAATCAGCACAGTGCGCAGGTCAACCTGAGTTAATGTACAAGTCAAATTGAAGACTTATGTAATATCTAAAACCTCCTGCCACTTTTTGAAATATTTTTACACTTTAAAAAAAATACATTAAAAACTCCCAAATGTGAATTATTCTGGATTAGCAATCACAAGGACACTAAGGTGTGGATAAACATGCATGAGCTCAAATCTGAAGGAGTTAAATCATGTGTGCAGTGCTCGGTGCAGACAGTGCAGCAGTGCTCTGGCTTGGCATCCTTTTTTATTTTTTTCTTGCAGGTGCTGAGGTGTTCTCTGAACGGGTGTGCAAGTTAACACTCAAAAAAGTCACACCGGTCTGCACAAAAAAAAATCTGAGAAAACACCGACGAAGCAAGTTAAACGTAAAGCTGTTGCACTCACCGTGAGTGTATATGTTTCCGAGTTCATTGTGCAGGTAGAAGAGGCTTCTGATGCAGTCTTGCACAGAGGAGCTTGGCCGGTATCCCGTCAGGACGTATTTATTAAACTGAAGATGGGGAGGAGAATTCGCCCAGTCCAGCAGCCTGGGTCCATTTAAAAATGCCATAGCAAACAGGACCGTTAAAATGACGCCGCCGAAAAAGTAAAAAACAGACTGTACACCTATATACACATTTAGTAATATTATTGCGACTAAAACCTTATGGGATACCATTGGTGTAGGTAGTTGTTTGGGTCTCTTTTTTTTGTTTGTTGTTGTTGCAAAAATATTGTGCTGTTAGCCTCCTTAGCTTGCCGCTAGCAGGGCTCACGTCCGAGTCTCACAGCAACTACCCGGCGACGGTGTATCCGCGCCGCCGCTGCTGCTGCTGCTGCTGCTGCTGCTGACTGCTCTCGACCCCCGGTGCCCGAGTGAGCGTCATCCGCAAGGCTGGAGACAGACGCGGCCGGCCACATACATGGTGCAAGCTCAGTGCGGTCATCACATTTGGCATCTAAAAGCTGTCCCGTTGTGGCACCTGCGACGCTGGGGCGGATGAGAGACAATGTTACCTCGACATTTTTCTTTTTTTTTTTCTTTTTTTTTTTTCCCCAAGCCACTTCCTCGTTAGTTGGCGTTCCCGTGCGGAGGAAGGCTCCAGCAACGCGTCCCGGGTTGCAGGAGATGCTGTGGGTGTCCCATCCAACTCCGGATGACGCTAGCTTGATACCTAGCGGTCAGATTCGCAGCAGAGGACTAGCAGGTCATACCTTCAGTACTTGATTGAAAGCAGACAGGTGTTGTACGCTCAGTTGAGATCCGTCTGACAGGGGCAAGTTTTTGTTTTGTGATAGGAAAAGAAAAAATCAGACATCCACGGTTCTGGAGCTGGGGGTGGTGGTGGTGGGGGGGGATTAAAGAGGAAGGGACTGCGGGGCTAGCAAAGCCGGGAAGTCGGCTACCGATGTCCTGTCACTGGGGTTGCTGAGATTTGAGCTGGGTGACTCCAAGCACTCACGGTCCGGGCCTTATAGCTTATATCCGGTTTCCTCAACATCCACTCTATCCTTTATTTTCCGTCATTGTGTCTGGCGAGGTATATTCCTTTGAAAATGCGGTGTCTCCTCTGGCGGCCTTAAGTCCCCTGCATCGCCTCTAACACAACTGTCAAGTTACATGGATGACAAATGACGACACTTCCGGTCATTGTTTTTCAAAATAAACCTTTACACCTAAGAACATGCTACGTTTCCCCAGGACGTTAGCTGTAGGTTATGGGGGGGGGGGTATATCCTACTGCAGTTAATTGATTTAAGTTACAATAACGATATGATCAATAACAACCCTGATTATTTTTTGCATCACATTCTTTTGCACTGAAAATAACTAGTATAATGATGATTAAGATTTCAGTTTTTACACTCTGTAAGTCATGAACACACACATACAAGCTACCAGACCAACTTCCATATTTGGTCCGCACCCGGACTTGAACCGGCGACCCTCCGGTTCCCAACCCAATGTATTATTATGTTGTTTTACCACACATTTTACCTTTATCAAAAATGAGTCTCCTGAAATATTGATATCACTCTTTGCCTTTACCCGCTAAAATATTGAAAGACTGAAATTAAATTGACGTTCAGATTCATTTCCCTCTATCCAAATCTAGTGTGAGATTTTAGGTTCCTGTACTAATACAATTAAAATATCCTACATTTTCAAACAAACAGGAAAGTGTACTTAGGAAGCTCATGTGTTCACAGTGTTGAGTTGACTTAAGTTGAACACCACATATACATTAGGGGATGATGACAACGCCCTGTGGGAGGGCCGAAAGCAAATATTTGTCTTTGAAAAAGTGCAGCCCTATAGCTTTCTAATGCTTTCCCCTTACTGCATTGCACTCTGTCAACCTGCACAGAAACAATACTACACACCCAAAAGTTTTCAATTTTTAATCAACAACATTACCAATGACAAAAGACGCACAATAAAAGCAGGAACTTGGGAAAGACTGGCGCCCTCAACAAGCAGCTCTCTTAGCTGGCCTAGTAATCAAGCTCACTCTTTCAAATAAATATAAAACTTTTTTAAACAGAGTTTGAATTAAAGGTCAAATTTTACTTTGAAAGCAAATCTGTTCACTTCTGGTCATATTGTTGCAATGTGAACACCAACACTGACAGAATCATACCTCAATACCAGAACAAAGAATAATCTAAACTGATCTTATAAACACAAAAAACATGGTTATTATTTTATAGTTCCAACTTGTAAAAAAAAAAACAAAGGTGTTTACCCTGAATAGTAATACAGGGTTTAAGTGTTTAAGTTATTTGGTTATTATTGGGGTTAGCCATGAAAAAGTACTGGGTATGACACATTTCTGAAAAAAACTAGTATGCACAATGGAATATGCAGGTCTATAAATGAATCAATATTGATAACCATGACTGTTAAAGTCAAGTGCTCGATTATCATATACACAGCTTGACTTTCTAATTGTAAAAAGAAAAAACACCCATTACATCTGCTTGTTTTAAAATGGTAAATTTAGTTTTTATAACAGCAAAAATATAATTGATGCATCAAAGGTAGAAGTTTCAAAGGAGCACTTGAAGTCAGTAGGTAAGGTCCTCCATGAGAAATGACTGTTGAAGCTCTTGATGAGTCATATTACCTCACCCCTGCTTTAAACTTATGACTTATATCCACCTACACACAAACATCTTAGGACTTTGACCGACAAGACCTCCTTTTACGATGGACTATTAACTTGTCAGATGTTTAAGAATGGAGGCAAAGTTTGTATCTGTATGGGAGCATTGTCATCTAGGTCTAGGAGAACCCTTAACTCCCACCAGGATATCAATATTTAATCATATTAATTCTCAAGACAAATTTATAAGAATTTCCAGTGATACTTCCCAATACTGTGATCACATTTTGTCATGTTTCAGGGCCACAGTGTATAACCAACCACGACTGGAGAAAAGACAGCTCAATAGTTTGAACATCAGTGTTAAACCACTTTAGCACTTCGCGCCCCCCCCCCCCCCCCCCCCCCCCCCATTATGATCTGCCCACCTCGGTCGCCTTTAAAACCAACTGACTACATTTTTTGCACACTTTTATTCATGCATGCAGCATGAACACTCAAGATAGAGGTGAGTCTTTTCTTATTACAACTTCTCATAATACTGTCACTATTGTTCTTGTTAATGAATCAATTTACACTGTCTTAAAAAAAAAATCATGTTACATGGTGTTAAACAGTGTAAAAAGGAATTTCTTTTTAAAGGCAAAATATCTTCTTTAGTAAACCAACTAAAATCCAAAAGTCATGTGGATGACTTTGTAAGAGCAACAGTGCTATGAGTTTTATACTAATGTGACTAAATATGTTGTAAATATTGAATAAACTAGCATTATTATGTTTCTTATTCAGAATAAACCATCCGTTTGCATCCATCACCAAACTACAGCAACATGTGTCTGTTGAAAACGTGCATCTTTGCCCTCCTCCTGCTGTCTCTCCCTCAGTCGACAAATCAGTCATGCATAGAGGGGTCACCAAAACAGTGCCTAGATGCAGAAGTTGCTCCAGGTACCAATTTGGCAGGCGAAGGCTTCGACATTACCAAAATGGAACGTAAAGGGGCCTTTGTGATCGACATGAATAAGTGGAAAACAAGGCAAGAATGCACTCTGTGTACGAACACCTTTCTGGAAAACAAACTGCAAAAGCTGCCCGTGGCAGTGGTAGACTGGAGAGCAATACAGTCCTGCAGCAGCAAAGTGGTCAGTAAACTCCACAGATCCAGTGAGTCTCTGGTCAGTTCCAGCACGTCTTCTGTTGAAAACAACTGGCAGGCAAACCTAGATCTTAAATTAGGGAATAAAGGCGCCTCCCTGATGCTTGCTGGTACAGATTCTAAATTGGCTGATTACTCCATGGAAAAAACTAAGAATGACAAATTCAGCTTCACAAGCCAGGGCATGGCGTGCGAGTACTACAGGTAAGGAGATAAAGAAGTACCTGATCAAGACAACAAATTTACTTGAGTGCTGGATTACAATACTGTTTTATATTGGTTTCATACTGGTCTGTCATTTGTGTTGTCTCTCTTAACAGCTACAGAGTGTCTAGGAGTGCCAAGTTGCACAGAGAATTTCAGAAAGCGGTGAATGATCTCCCCAAGATCTACAGCTCTGAGCAAAAGCAACAATATTACAAACTGATTGACACTTTTGGCACACATTACATCACCAAGGTGAACCACAATGACGACATATTTCCATTTCTAGCATTTCTTAAATTAAAAATCAAAATAGTTTTTGTGTAATGTGTTTACATAATTTCCAGGTGAAACTGGGAGGAAGAGTTCAATCTGTAACCAGCATCAAGCAGTGCGAGGCCAGCCTAAAGGGTCTTAGTGTGGAGGAGGTTAGTATGTGCCTGGAAACTGAAGCGTCAGCTAGCTTCCATGTTACAGTTTCAACTAAATCAAAACACTGCAAAAAGGACACTGACAAGATGGACACCAAGTCCGCCTTCTCCAGCCTCTTCAATGACAGGTATGGGACATAGTCTTTTCACATGTGTTACACTGTCTGTTCATTTGCACTTCTTACTGCCTGTTCTTAACATGAAAGGCAACTGTGTTTACCGACTTATGTCACATATTCAAATATTCCTCCAAATCGAAGAACCACTCTCCGTGTGCAACAATGGTGTAAGCCTTAACTTTCTTGCATGGCTAAGTCCAAACAAATTTTTTGCTTTTGATGGTATTAAAGTTCAACCCTTATGTGTCTTTGACTTCTAGAGAGTATTGTCCAAATGTATGCCCTGGTTCAGATGTTGAAACAACTCTTCTCTACAGGTTCACAGAGATAAAGGGTGGCCATACGACAGAGCCAGACTTACTCTTTTCTGCTGACAAAGATCCATCTGCCTACAAGGAATGGCTTAATACCATACCACAGAATCCAGACATAATCTCATACTCCCTTGACTCCCTGCACGAGTTACTACCCATCAACAACTCTGTACGGGTAAACTTGCGCTCTGCAATAGGCCATTACATCCTGGAGAAAGGCTTGTGGAAGAACTGCAGTGAACGCTGTCAGGCAGGCAGGAGGAGTGACTCAAGGGATTCCTGTGTCTGCCAATGTCACAATGACCCGGCTGTAAACCAAGACTGCTGCCCGACCCGTAAGGGCATGGCGCAGGTCATCATTACTGTACAGCGAGCCTCTGGTCTTAGGGGAGACTACTTCACATCCACAGATGGCTATGTGAAAGTGTTTGTTAACAAGGTGATGGTCCAGCGTTCTCCTGTCATTCATAACAACAACAACCCACGCTGGGCCATGATCGTCCCCCTTCAGTCCCAGGATTTGTCATTGGGAAATAAAGTGACATTTCAAGTGTGGGATAAGGACAACAACTGGGACGATGATCTGTTGGGAAAATGTGAGCAAGCTCTGTCCGCAGGAGTTAAGGAGGATCTTTGTAACCTGAACCATGGTCAGCTCTTTTTTAAGTGGGAGGTCAAATGTGCTCCAAGTCTGTCTGGTGCTTTATGCATGGACTACAAACCGTCACCTATGAGTGAACATTTGAAGAAGCTGTATGTGTCCCGTCATGCCCACCCTGTTCCAAAGGCCATTCTGTTAGAGATGGGCGTGTTCCTGGACAAAACAACCTCAAAGACAAACCAGAGTGTTAGTGCAGCATTTTCAAAAGGTTGAGGTAATATAAAACGTGCGTTTGGCCTTACTTATGCTTATCTTTAATACCAATGAAAAAGATAAGCGATAGAGGAGTAAGAGAGAGATTCATAAACTATCGTTGACAACGTGTCTGCAACTGAATATAAAAAAAAATGCTTTTATTTGCTCATCTCATATGTTAACTTCTAATTCAAAAATCTCTATCATGACTCTGACTTAATGTAGCTTGTACCAACAATTTATTGTTTTTGCCATATCTCTTACAGGTCTTTTTTTTTGTATTTTCTTGCCTTTATACGGGCATTTAAAACATGTACAAAGCTGTTTTGTTATGATTCGCTTTTTGGCTTTTAATGCCGTCTTTTGAGAGGACAGGACATTGGATAGATTCAGAACAGTGACTTGAGCAGGGAAAGAGATGCAGTAAATGGCTGAGGGTTGAAGTCGAACCCACAGCCGCCGCTTCAAAGGCTATAGCCCTCTGTACATGGGACGTGCAATTTAACCAATGATCGAAACCAGCGCCTTACAAATGTGTTTCTTTTCTTTAACTCAAACTGTTAACCTTTTGATTCTTTGCGGGCTATTTGAGTACGGTTTCTAAAACATATTACTCATATTTTTACAAATATATTTTTTAAGTTGTTCAATATCTTACCTACTTGATGCTGATATAAAAATATAAATCTGCGATTTACCTTTATGTTCTTCAATAAAAGTTTTCATATAACAACAAATCTATTGGTTGTGTGTATTTAATTTTTTGTGCTTACTGCTGAAACTGTCAAATTTTACCACTAGGTTCATTACATTTAATCCTAGCTTATTGCTATGCAACTATCAATGTACTTTTTCCTGAGCTGAAATTAAGAAATTTGTACTTAGAGTGTGACAACTTCCTTTTCTCACTAAGTATGGCCAAAGCCCATCACCACTTCAGAGAAATGACAGGTTTGTGGTCTTTGGTTTGATGCTGACTGGAAATCTAGACTGACTTTTATGTTGCCACGACATGTATGAGTTTGTCTCCAGATGACAAACTCCTCCCTCAGACTCGATCTATTCAGCTCTGCGAAACTGTCTGACTACGTCTTTTCCCCTGCTTTTTTTAAGACCACCGCCACCTCACCACCCCCAGCCCTACTTTTATGACCATATAACACAAACCACTTATATTCATACTCACAGTCAGTTTCACAAATGCTGCATGAACAGGCAAGACAAAGGTGAGTCTACACTAAAGTTGTTATAATGAATTATTGTTTCCTTTTTTGAATAGAATTGTTATATCGTTTGTTACAATTTCTGGCAAGTTAGCAGCCTGTTTCACTATTTCACAGATTAATCAGCAAGTTATCTCCTAATTAGGCCTGCCATATATTATTGCAGTAGTTTTAAAATAGAATGCTTGTATACTGTAAGTCAAGTTCGTGTCAAGACAATAAATGTTGATCAAAGCAAAGAGTAGTTGAAAAAAAAAGGAAGAGCTTAAGGCAGGATTTAAAAAATATCAAAGGATGAAGGGAACTTGAGACCAACATCTAAAATGTTCCAGTCAAAGATGGATACTTTTATCTCCTTTGGATTTTGACTAATAATGTACAATGGAGAGGCGCAATGGACAAGAGCATCTGAGAAGTTACATGTTGGAGAAGTGGGTAAGGAGAACCGAGATGTTAACCTGTGCAAATCCATGCAGTGCTTAAAAAGCAATAAATAGTCTCGGGTCAGTTTTCAAAGTCAAGATGACCCAACTTGGTGTGAGTGACAACTTTTTCAGAAACCCCAGGCTGGACAAGGATAGCTCCGAAGAAGTTACAGCAATAAATATTCAAGGAGATAGAAACATGTAAAACAGTGTCCTGATCTAAAGCAGACCAACACGGTTTTATTTTTGCAAACTATTTCCTTGTGTGAAAAATGTACTTAGAAGAGGTCAGAATGCTCCAGCAACACTTTTAGTAAGAAGATCAACTTTATTAACAATTTAGACCGACGCGTTTCGGGTCGAGGCCTTCATCAGGGTCAGGGTGAAAAATGTACTTAAAATGACATCTTGAGCAAACACTGGGGTTTTGGTCCTATTGTCATTTATCTCTACTCTATACTGGTTTTGTCCATCCAGTAAAGTAATACAATTACAAAGGCGTAAAGATTTCTTGTAAATAAAAAAGTTTACACAGTGTTGAAATACAGTTCATTGAGAAACCAGGGGATCCCCCTGAAGAAAAGGGCTGGCTGGGTACGGATAGTGAGGGGGCCCCAGCAAAGCGATGTGGTGACTTCAAGTTGTGGAGATGAAGACTGCTATTTGTACTTCCACGGAAAAAAATCAGTTCAGGGCGTTGGCCTTCTTTAACTCTCTGTGTGGAGTCCTTAAATGAGGTGGCACAAAGGGACCGTTAATCTCTTTTGAGGTAAATTGACACCAATATGCAAAATGGTTAAAAGACTTGAAGGGAGTTGATTGGTCAGGACACCGAACCTGCTCAGAGCTTAATGGTGTTTTATTATCTGACATTGTGAGCCGTTATGAACACGCTGTTCAAGGATAGGGTGATTCAAAGGTGTACATGGTGCCCAAACATCCAAGCTAAAGATTAAAGAATGACTTGACTATGGCATTATCAGATCCCTGAAAGTATGTCTGACACTTTCCTCAGCAGAAAGCTGACTTACCCAAAAGGAAATTGTACATTTAATTAATGATTAATGAAAAAGAATAAGGAGTTAACTAACTATCTGCTTCACTAACTTTGTCTGTTTAAATACAATGTCTCTTTCAGGATAAACCATCCGCTACCAAACCACAAAGCAACATGTGTCTGTTGAAAACGTGCATCTTTGCCCTCCTCCTGCTGTCTCTCCCTCAGTCGACAAATCAGTCATGCATAGAGGGGTCACCAAAACAGTGCCTAGATGCAGAATTTGCTCCAGGTACCAATTTGGCAGGCGAAGGCTTCGACATTACCAAAATGGAACGTAAAGGGGCCTTTGTGATCGACATGAATAAGTGGAAAAACAAGGACAAGAAATGCACTCTGTGTACGAACACCTTTCTGGAAAACAAACTGCAAAAGCTGCCCATGGCAGTGGTAGACTGGAGAGCAATACAGTCCTGCAACAGCAAAGTGGTCAGTAAACTCCACAGATCCAGTGAGTCTCTGGTCAGTTCCAGCACGTCTTCTGTTGAAAACAACTGGCAGGCCAACCTAGATGTTAATGTGGGTGAAAAAGGTGGCTCAGTGATGCTTGCTGGCACCCATTCCAAAGTAGCCGAGTACTCCATGCAAAAAACTAAGAATGACAAATTCGGCTTCACAAGCCAGGGCATGGCGTGTGAGTACTACAGGTAAGGAGAAGAGAACTGGGTTGAAAGTTTACTTACTGCATGTTTCCAAGTGTCCGAAAAAAATGGTCATTGTAACAGACGTGTTGCATTCTGATCTCTTTTGTGAAATCATGTCTTGTGTCTTGCTGTAATCAGCTACAGGGTGTCCAGCTCTCCGAAGTTGCACAGAGAATTTCGACAAGCAGTGAAGGATCTCCCAAAAGTCTACAGCCTCGAATACAAGCAACGATTTTACAAACTGATAGACAACTTTGGCACCCATTACATCACCAAGGTGGACAAACATTATGACATAGTCTAATATAAAAAAAAAAATCAATTATTCTTACAATTGAAAAATCACACTAAATACATTTTGTGCTTCAATTAACTTTTCCAGGTGAAACTGGGAGGAAGTGTTCAAACTGTGACCAGCATCAGGCAGTGCCAGGCCAGCCTTCAGGGCCTTAGCTTGGAGGAGGTTAGTATGTGCCTGGACGTAGAGGCATCTGCCAGCGTCAAAGTGGCTACGATGGCGGCTCAATCAAAACATTGCAAGTCCGACATTAACAAGATGGAAAACCAGAAATCTTTCTCCAGCCTCTACAATGACAGGTAAAGAACATTTTTCTCATATCATTTTTTATTCAATTGCACACTTTGTTAACTATATACACAAATTTCCTTCCCTAAAAAACAAATTGGCTCAGTTCCCTAAGCAAACTCTCTTCTCTACAGGTTCACAGAGATAAAGGGTGGCCATACGACAGAGCCAGACTTACTCTTTTCTGCTGACAAAGATCCATCTGCCTACAAGGAATGGCTTAATACCATACCACAGAATCCAGACATAATCTCATACTCCCTTGATTCCCTTCATGAATTATTGCCTAGAAACACCCCTGTCCGGAAGAACCTGCGCTCTGCTATCAGCCATTACATCCTGGAGAGAGGCTTGTGGAAGAACTGCAGTGAACGCTGTCAGGCGGGGATCAAGAGTGACGCGAGGGATTCCTGTGTCTGCCAATGTCACAATGACCCGGCTGTAAACCAAGAGTGCTGCCCGACCCGTAAGGGCATGGCGCGGATAATCATAACTGTGCAACGGGCTTCAGGTCTATGGGGAGACCACTCAACGGCAACAGATGGCTATGTTAAGGTTTCCTTCAATGGGCAAATGGTCCGCCGTTCTCCTGTCATTCAAAACAACAACAACCCACGCTGGGCCATGATCGTTGACCTTGGTGCCCAGGATTTGTCAGAAGGCGGTAAAGTGAGATTTGAAGTGTGGGATCAGGACAACAACTGGGACGATGATCTGTTGGGACAATGTGAGCATGCTCTGTCCGCAGGAGTTAAGGAGGATCTTTGCACCCTGCAGCATGGACAACTCTTCTTTAAATGGGAGATAACATGCGCTCCGAGTCTGACTGGAGATTCATGCATGGACTACAAACCGTCCCCCATGAGTCAAAGTCTGCAGAAGATGTATGTTTCTCGTCATTCCCACCCTGTTCCAGAGGCCATTTTGTTGGAGAAGGGTGTGTTCGTGGACAACTCAAGCTCACATAGAAACCAAAGCCACAGTACCGATAGTTAAGAGGCTGGTGGGTTAAAAAGCCTGGGATGCTTACACAGAAAAATAACTCTGTATGTGTATTGATGGGCTGTTTTCAAGCGAAACCCATACCTGTAACTGAATCCATCCTGCACATAGAGAACAATGTGTGTGTGTGTGTGTTTGAGCATTTGCTAGCCTCTTGATGAAGCTTAACTCAGTTGTGTAAGACAAAATCCTTCTGCATTTGAATTGTTTGAAATGCATTTCAAATGTTTAAATCACACATATAGCCGGAATAAAAGCAGTGGCAAAAAATAAACTTGTCATTCTCTATTTAGCCAGTTATAGCAAAGCATGTGCAATTTATAATATGAAGGTTCTTTCAGTCTTCAAATGATAGCTTGATTTATGTAGAATGTAATAATAAACTTGCTTATCATGATATCAATCGTTTTTCTTGGCAAATATATAATAACTTAAAGTGTGTGTAATGCTTCAGATGTTTTGTGTTGTTCAGTCACTTTGTAGCATTTTACTGTCAATACAAACATCATGTAGTGTGTTTGATGTTTCCTAACAATATTGCTTAATAAAGTATTATCTTGTCTCTTATCTTATCTTACTGTTCATTGTGTTATGTATTGTGCTGTTACTGTGAGTGTTGATATGAAGTTTGCGTTTGTAGGCGGTTGCCTGACATGAGAAAGGAAGTGGTAAAAACTTCCTGTCAACGGATGAGGCTATGCTGATGCTTTTTAAAGGGAGCTTCGTGCAAGTAAACATCGTGTAACATCTTTTTATTAACAGACTTTAATTCAGCATTTGACATATAATCTATTGGATTCAAACAGTGATATCATTTCAATAATCATTTCAAAACATAGAGACAATTTTATTTATGCTCATCTATGGTGGGGTAATAATGTGTTTTGGACAAAGACAAACAGATATGGGTAACAAATGTCCACTTACAGAGAAAGAAAAAAAAAAGAAAGATTAAACAAAAGACAACAGATAGCACAACAGGATGAATTGGAGTGAAACACACAAAAAAAACGCTTTAAAAAACATACAACACTGAACACATTATGGAATTGATCCACTTGAAGAAGTTCAGGTCAACTTGAATTAGCCTGGTTGAAGACAAAGACAAAGAGGACAGGGGGTGGAGAGCAAAGATAATGAATAAGGAAATAAATATTTTTACTGGTTGATGACATGCACAAGACTGCAGCAAAGTCTGTGCAGTGCTGCTGATATAACACAATACATTTCTATATGTCACTCATAACAAACTCAGACGTTTTTTTATTCCATATACTTTTCATGAAATGAGAGAAGCTCTTTAAATAAGGAATAAACGTAACATCAAAATGGATCTGATTTGAAAATATAAGAACTTCTTTGGTGGGGTTGTAAAAAGTTTGATGATGTTGAGTCAGCATTTCTGGTGATTTGAGCTAGATTAAAATGAGGCGCGCAGGATAGACGGGCATTGAAATAATGCCGGGAAGAATTGTATTTGAAAGTGGAAAAGTGTGCGTGTTCAATAAAGTTCTGTCTGCCACCTCAGGGAGAAAGAGGCTTAGCCCATCTATGCGCCACGTTGTTGCGGAAGCAGTACTGATCAACCGTTAAATGGTGTTTGCATGATCTGTGGCTGTAACAGATAAATTTATGCCCCTCAGCATTTTTTTTAAACAATGAGGTTTTAGGTGCCACACCGCTTTTGACACTCTGTTGCTAGATGGCTTACTGATTAATCTTAGCGCTGAGCAGCTATAAGATGATAGATTGGTGGATGTTAAGACATTATTGGTTGTCATGGGCACACATATTTTACTTTGCTGAATAAAAGAATCAGATATGTTGTGCTTTTTTTGTTGGCATATACTGTTGAATAGGGGCACACATGACACAAGGAGGTGAATTTAAACAATCTCGGTTTAAGCTTGACCTAAGAAGGATTAAGTGTCAACCGTCCCTCATTCTCACCTTTGTATCCGTTGCCAAGCGCACCATCCACTCCTCCATATTTGCCAGTTTGATCTCCTGTAAAAGCATCAAACCCAGTCATTGTTATGCTCATGTAATAATAGATGTGCTAAGAATAAATACACAGCATCAGGAAAGAGGTTTGACTGCTAAATAAAACCTAACAAGAAAAGGTTTGGTCAAAGGTCATGTAGTTGGACTCAGCCAACTCACTACATCGACATGTATAGAGACAGTTGTTGAGTTCATTTTTCAAATGAATCTTTAGCTGCTTTGTTTCAATTCACTCAGAAAACATTTGGTTGTTGAAAGTAAAATTAAAAACTGTGAAAAAAAAAAAAAAAATTGCTTACCCAAGGCATCTTGAGTTGCTCCTAGCTGTGCGCGGTAACCTTGTCAAACATTTGAAAGAGAGATACATTTTTTTAAATGTATAAATATATATGAAAAAACGTCTAGAACAATAGATGGATTAAAATGCACAATATAAGAATACATAAATATAATGATATAAAAACCTGTGCAGCATCTATCGCAAAATATTATAGAATTGACAGAGTATGCTGTTAACATAATAAAATATGAATTTAAACTTGTGTACAATATCTATCATAGTCAAACTATAAAATTGATCTTTAAAATATAAGAATTTACTCAGGGAGGTTGATAGAGGTTTTTCATGTGTTGTGTTAAAGAATTAAAAGTGTAAAAAGGCACAGTGTCTCTGGGTTAGTGCATGAAAATTCACCTGTTTGCTGAGCTCCGAAACCTGCACCAGCCCCTGAAACAATATTAATGAATTGAAGATGAATTGATAAGGTGACAATGACAATGACATGAATTGATAAGGTGACAATGACAAGTCATGATAGAAATAGTGCACACGTGGAAACATAACACACATTTACACACAAACACACACTGCAGATCCTCATGGCCTCATGGCTCAGAATACAAGACTTTTAAAGATAAAGGTAGGGGACAAAAATGACCCAGTTTGTGGGTAATCTGGTCTGTTATCACTAGTTGTTGCAGTTTCAGTTCATGTTGTCCTTTTAAGATCAGTCATTTGTTCTCACGATAGCATGATTATGGTTTCCAGCCACAAGATTATCTGTTAAAATAAATAACCCACCCACTTCGGAAAAAGCAACGACCAGAAGTTTTTTGGGGGGGGGGGGCGGTTTTATCACAAATGGTTTCTCACGGTGTTCAGCTCACAGACATGCATTCTCACCAAATTTGTTGGCGGTTTTTGCACCTTCTGCACCCAGGGCCAGCTGCTGAGCAGGATATGGGTAGCCGGCATCAGCTGAGGGGACAAGTTTGTTAAGCATGAACGTTTCTGAAAATCTCACACAAGATGATTGTTTGTGGCATCCAAAATGAGAAAAGTGTGAGTTTCTGTATTTCATTGTTGGAGTTGAATTCTTTTCACTCGATATCATCTTGCACTAAATGTAAATGATACACACCAACGTTTCAATGCAAACACTTGAGGATCAAGTGGAAAAAAAACGAGTTAACTTTGGTATGTTGGGGCATCTGTTTTTAGGAAGGTAACAGTATTTGTACATGTCTCGAACTGTCACAGTTTGGACGCCATGGTTACGGTGCAGTCATACGATGAACAGGTCTTGGTAGTACAGGTAGTACACGCATGGCAGTATCCACACCTCCGATCCAGGTGGTGGTGATGCTGGTCACTGTAAACCGTCCCCCAATTTTCTCCACAGTGTGGTATGTCATTGAAAACACTTTGAACATGCTAATGAGTATTAGACACTTATCCCTGCTGATTTTAAAAAGCCTCTGGATATGACAGCAGAGAGGGGTAAAGACGTTTCTGAAGCGAATCCATCTTGAGTCTATTAGTGCTTATGCAGTTATAGAGAACCTCGGCTAATGGTGTGAACTAAAAGTGTGCATGTACGATCCCGTGCGCACATAAGACAGCACTTGAGTAGTCCTGTAGTGGTGTACACGAGCTGCTACATCCACTGTTCAGTAACCGCAGATGTCTGGATCTCTCTTGGCCCTTAAAGCTATGTGATTGCACATTTCATAGATCATCAAAGGTAACAAAATTGCATAGGTGAAGCTCTCACCCTCCAGTCCAGTAGGGATCACTGGAGCATTCGCGTAAGGAACCTGAGCAGCTCCTCCTACTGCAGAAGAAAAAAAAAAAGATAAGATAAAACAAAGGGACTCATATCTCTGATCTGTTTCAACACTTTCATCTGCACACTCTCTGCAATCCACTTCTTCAAGTCTGACCCTCATGAAAAGCCACACTGACAGAAGCTTGACTAATAGTGTGGCAGAAGGATGAGGTGGTGTCAGCAGGCTCACCATATTTGCCACCAGGGGATTCCAGGCCTGCACCGAGCGCTCCTGAGAGAAGAGAAGAGGGGCTTCAGTAACTAGCTTAAGAGCATCACAGAAAATATATCCATACAGAGCTCTTAGTAGTGGACAGAAGGATGTTGTGTTCCCTTCGACTTGTGAATGAAATGTGTTTTCCATGTTTTTAGCTGCCATTTTATACTACATTTTTGTCCTGATAAGAGCTCTCCTTCCATGTTAGTGTGAACAAACTTCAACCATTAGAAAGCCTGACAATGTGACAATTTTTTTGTGTTGCTATATGAATCAGATTGTGCAGCCTTGGTGGAGGCATTCCCACTTGCTTGCAGTATTTCCATGTGTTGGTTTATCAGTAGCGATGTTTGGCAGCCAGAGGAACACACAGTGTAATCTGTGATGCTGCTCCACACTTAAACCTCTTACCATACGCCCCCTGGACCTGCCCAGCATAGCCGCCTGTACCGAGGGCTGGGAAAAGTCAGAAAAACAAAAACATGCAGGTCAGGAAAGGCCAAGTCATTCACGAATAAACTGTGTGAAAAGCATCTACAGGAGCAAGAAGTCAGAACACACGCGGTTAAACTGTTAAGCTTCTATTGATAAGAGACAATAGCTACACCCAGTGGATAGAAGACCACACTGGACATGTTCATTACTGGTTGTGTGTTTCCTTGATGGCCTCTTATTTCAGCTGTAAACCATCACAGGTTAATGCTTCTACGGGTTAGTGCAATCACCTGTTATGGATTTGAGCAGGTTATAACAAGGGCTGCACAAACGCTCGGGACACAGAATCATGATTCTAAGAGCTTTTCTTAGTGAAAATAAATGTGGGATCACTCCTACAAATATAAATTCATATGCCAATGATTTTTAGTTTTATAATTGCAAAAATAATTTGTGCCAAATTATGCAGCCCTAGTTATAGCTCCTCAAATGTTTTACCTTCACTCTTTCTTGCTTTGTGTCCTGCACCATCAGTTAACTCTGCAGGGTAACCAAGCCCTGAAACATAGTTCTAATTAGCATTATCAATGTGTCTCTGTGCTGTGGGCAGTTAAAGAAGTCTGAGTTCTCCCAAACCCCCCCCTCTTGTTGTTTCATGAATACTCACCAGCCCCGTAACCGTCGCTGTAACCATTCCCATAACCTGTTGAGAGAAGATGCTGTATGTTTAAGCGTTAAACATATAGAGTTAAACTAAACAAGTAAACAATGTTTGTGACGTAACGGATGTATGCTTGTGACCAGTACCACAGGAAAGCAAATTTAAAAAGATAGTAGTTTGCATGCATGTGAAATACCTGCAGACATCGCCTTTGCAGCATCTCCACCTGCAGTTGGAAGAGAACAAAGACCGTCGCTCAACATAAAGGATCGGCTCGTCTTTGATTCTGATTCCTCTGACACCAAACTAAATGAAGAATGACCCTCGCTCCTAGCAAGCTGAACTCAAGCTTCAAGGTTTTAGATTAGATTTTATAAAAGTGTATTTTTTATTGTCTCCTATGCTACCCTTGGTAACTCTCAAAGTGTTAAGTTTGACTTGTATCACTTGAATTTCCCTGTGCATGTACTCATAGGTTTACACTTACCGTAGCCATTGCCTGCCATAGCACCCAGGTAACCAGTTACTCCCTCACCATAGCCTGAAATAACACACATTCAACAAACGTTATATATGACACAAACTTTCATATTCTCTCTTATTTTGTTAGCAAAAAAAAAAGCCAAAATAGAACTTAAACGGTTAATGGAAAGCTTCAAAGAAAACATTTTGTTGCTCTGAGAATAAGTTCTCTTCTACTTTTTGAAGCTACTAGACTGGTTCGTATTGTCAGTTATCAACTAGAAAAAAAAGGGAACAAAATTTGGCTTTGCATTCGGAAAATGTATTCAGGCAGATAAAAAATCTTCATTTTCTTCAAGTCTGTGTTTTTGAATAAGCGACTACATTTGCATAGAGTTGTTATATTTGTGGAGGCCATAACAATGAGCCCATTAAGAAGTGTGATTGGAAACGCTCCAGAGAAGAGTCTGGCGGTATAATTATTTTACAGCCTCACCAGGTGAGATCCCTGCAGCACCATGGGGATATCCACCCTGTCCAAGAGCAGCAGCAGCTGAAATATTTTTGGAATAAAGTGATGAATCAATGAATTCCTACATCTAAACAAAGAAAATAAGAATACATCAAAATCTGCATCTTACATCCAAGTTTGCCAGTTGCACCGAGGTATGCTCCCTGTCCCAAACCTGTAAGAAGAAGCATAGAAATACTAAATAACAGCTAGCATCAATCTACATCAGCATCTCCAGCTGCTAGTGACAAATTTACATCTGTATCATGAGTCATCAGGGCGCAAAATTAAACTGTCGATCCACAGGCCTGCAGGCTTTTAAATGTTATAACTGTAATCTCAACTCTATACATAGCTTTAATTATATACAAAATATACTTATCTTATCACTATTTAGTCAGTTGATTGTGTTAATTTTGTGTGTTAGTGCCCAACTTTACCTGCCCCATAGCCCCCATGGCCCCCATAGTTTCCTGCTCCACCCATGTAACCTGTGGAGGAAATGAACACGGTCAATGCTGGGGGATAAATGCTCACGATCCCTTTTAAAATATATCAAACAATAGTGTCAGTAATTGAAGGGAAAACGCATGGGTATCCATGAATCAGCACTACATTTAGTTGATGGTTGAATCATACTTTAAACACATGATAATACTCAGACATAATAACCCCGCCTTATTCAGCTGTTTCCATATACAGAGGACACACAGGCTTTTAATTCAATATGTAACATGTGCAGCTGACGGGTGAACAAAAATAAACACACACACATAATGGATTCCTGCATCTTTGCCAGGGTTGGATGGTTTTTAACAACCTCTTTTACTGGACAATGGCGCTCCTGGACTGAATCCTAAGAACCACAGCACCAGAGGCTGAATCTTTTTTTAGCATCTCCATACAACTTCAAACACGCATTTCTTCTTATTTTACACCGCCTTATCTCATTAAACCTCTATTTTCTTTTCATCTTCCTGTAAAGAACGTCTGTACTGAATGTGAGTCCAAAATGTTCAATGCAATAAAAGTTTGTTTAGCCAAATAATATTATACAAGCAATGGTACAGACACACAGGGACATGCAGGTGACAGTTTACTGTTGGTTTACTCTAACAACCCCAGGCACAACAGGAGCACTTACTAAACACAACAAACTAAGACAACAAGGCACAAACAAATGAAGATATTAAGGTGACACCATATTTATACAGGACAACATGACAGCAGCTGTGGGTAATGAGCTTGTGCCTAAAGCTTCCTGATGCATAATTTATAATCATTATGAGCAAAGAGCATTGGAAATGGTCCCTATTCACCACATACAGACTTTCCACATCAGATATGAGCTAATCACATATTAACTGATTATTAAAAATCTTAAAAGTCAACCAATAATAAACACATCCACTAATGTGGTAATGTGAAAAAAAAACCTAATAAAAATTGGAGCTCTTTGACATACCAGACAAACATACCAGCAGAAGAAGAAGCTTTAGATACTCTGAGTTCAACATTTTTTTATCTAGCTGGGCGCCAACGCTAAAGCTACCATCACAACACCTTGACGACTCATATGGACTGATGACAAGAGAGACAAAGGTTTGGGTGGTCAGATAGCACTTCAGTGTTGTCTTTGTTGCATTCACCCAAGCCGTAACCTCCTGGGCTAGAAAGATGGAGACAACACTATCAAAAGTGTAGTACCTTTACCAGCCACTTGAAGCTGGCCTCTGAAGCGAGTGGATTCACATAGAGTTGCATTGAAATGCCAAACTTAACATCAGAATAAAGAAGTTTTCAGCCCAGAACAAACAAAGGTTTAGGTCTCTAAATGTTGCTCCAAGAATACAAGATGACAACAGCCAAAACACCAAAGTCTGAGCTTCAAAATACAAACTAACGAGTATGCCACTTCTTTGAATACTCTATTTTCTTCCACCAAACACCAGGGAAACAGAAAGTGAATCAATGTGAATGAGGTGACAATGAAGACAGCTTCCATCCGGCAAGAAGACATGTTTTTCATCAGTTTGAAAATGGCTTATCAAAAGTTAGAAAAAAAAAGCATAAATCACAGGAAAGATTATGAGATATGCCACTTTCTGAAGATAACAGTCACCTAAAAAGGGGTTCTTGGTAAATCAAGATAATAAAAAAAAAAAAACACTCTTACTTGTTGCCTGGTTACGCCTCCCAGTCTGTCCTGGGATGCTGAGAGCTTTTGACTTTGCGACATCATGGTCAGTATGAGAAAAGGGTATTTGTTCCTGACCATCAACAGTTACACCTTCACCTTCTTGCCTTTCTATTGAGGTAATGCCTAAACTTTGGGTTTCACTTCCACTCACAGGTCCTTGGTTCCTCGCTCCTTGTACCTGAAGATTAACAGAACCAGGACTAAGGTTTTCTACAGCAATGCTCCCATGAATCCTAGGCCCTTTTGTCTTCTGGGAAGGCCCAAGGTCTTTGACAGCCTGCCCATCTGCTACGGCAGATAAATGGCTTCCGGTTGCCTGACCATGTGATAGTGAGTATATACCACTTCTGACATCTTGAATTTGTGGGAGAGGCAGTCCATAATTTATTTCGCCTCGTGCTTGTTGAATTGTGTGTCCAAGGTGTTTGCTGTCCTTATCAGCATGAATCCTGGGAAATAAACTCGGAGTCCTCTGCCTTTCTGACCCAAGAAGCTCATGGCGCTTAATTTCCAGAACACCTGATAAATCTCTAGTTGGTCCACAGTTTGGGCGTCGCTGATTTGGATGGATTAATGAATCATATTCTCCTGTATGCTGTACCTGAGGCGAACCCTGAGTTCGGATATTGGCTTGAACAAGTGGAAGTTGCTGTCTTACACTTCGGGCGGCAAGTGTGGCTCCATGGTTTGCTGAACGCCTTCTTTCTAAAAGCATAGGATCATAACTTTCGCCTCCTTGTGCCAGAACTTTCTTTGTTTGTCAAGGGGTGTCAAAGGTCTAAGACTTGATGACTTAACCATTGGATCAAGGCTTTTGACCTGTCTAAAGCCAGTGTCAAGAGCAGTGGGACCGAGTATGTTGCCTCTCCCCATACTGGGCGTTTCAAGTCCAACAGTCGTGTCTCTTTGTCCATACAAGTGACTGCTTTTTTCTCTCTTCAGATCTTGAACAGCCTGGCCCAGATTTGCCATCTCAGGTCCACCCAAGTCTGCTGTAGACACACCTGGCAGAGAAATATCATCAAGTATTCATGACTTCTTGGAGGCTCAAATGCACACTTTGGTGGTCAGCGGCAAAAATATTCACTGTTTTGTATTTCAGTTGATGTGTGTATTGAAGCATTCAATGCAATATAACACATCATCCACAACGGGGGTAATTCAAGACCAAATGGAATTGGACAAAATCCATTATGGTCTGATAGTAGTCCAGTTTCAAAGGACTCAATCATCACCATAATAAAGAAGCGAGTCAACAAAGAGACGACATACAACCATGGCCATTCTTTGGACGACACACACAGCAATTGTCTTGAGTCAGAGTGATGGCATCAACAGATAAAGCATGACATGACAACAAAATGCAGTCAGCCTAAATTGTTGAAATACCATGAAACACATAGGAACAAAACAAAGACAATCCCTGACTCAGAGAGCATCAGTGTGTGACAAAGACAACTGATAAACAAAGTTTAGTAAACACTGATGGGATATGAAAGCAGACACCGACACAGTGCACAGCAAACGTTTCAAAGAGAAAAAACATTTGCCAGCTGATAGAAGTACTTCCAAGTTTTCAGTGCATTTTCCCTCATCATTCATTTTTTTTAACTCCAACATCCATACTGAAACCAAATTACTATGGGCCACATGAACCCAGTGAGAAAAACAGCAAAACAGAGGAGATGACAATAAGATAGATGTGATTTCATGCAAACCAAAGCCTACATGAACGCAACATCTGTTACCCCAGTTTCACAGAGGTTACAGACAAACAACACAGAACACAGACTAACAAAGACAACAGCACTCGGTTGAGGTTGTGATGGTTTTACCAGGTTTTTGCTCTTTAGCCTTGTGTCCAGTGTGATACCCAAGTCCAGCTCCTAATGACGGCAGATAGTGGAACTGTCATTAGTGTCCTTCAACAAGTAAACCGACACTCATGACAACAGTAATCCTGGAGAGGCCTGCGGTCTTCAGGCGTTTGCAAAGATGCACATGGAATCATTCAACAAATCTGATAATTATATTCTCTTTTTTTGGATCAGTTTAATCTGATTCTTAACCCTGTGCTGTGAGAAATAAAATAAAAACAATCACTCTAGCGTAGAAGAAGAAGTAGCAGGGGGTTTTATGGTTAGACCTGATTCATCACTTACCTGGCCGGGCTCCAGGATAAGCGATGCCGGCTAAAGGTCCGTATCCTGGCATGAAAACAAAAAGCCAAATTCAATGGACATCAAGCACGTCTATAAATCTTGACATGCACTCTGATTACATCACTTGATCCTCAGGTTTTCTCTGTTTTAAAGGGATGCATGATTTATTAGCTATGATAGTCTGCCCCATAGATCATGTTCAGAGACAATGAAAGAGTACCACTTAGCTAAAATTTATTAAACAAACAAGAGGGGACTGACATGATTTGTATTTCAATCTGTATTCTTTTATTTGCTAAAAAAAGAAAAAAATTGATCATTTAAATTCTAAAATAATTCATTTTTGATAATTACTCACCCGGGTGAGTACCAAGACCAGCGCCGTAAACTGGAAAATAAACACAGTTACTTTTAAGTTCATATTTATATTCTGTTCATCTTTATTCTTGTCTCCTTATAACAGATTTATGATAACATGTGTTATATCTTCCTCACCACGCTTTCCTCCCTGGCCCAAACCCAGTCCCAGTCCATTAGTTAGTCCAGCCCCCAAAGGCATTCCAGCACCCAGATTTGCACCTAAAATAACAAGAAAAATATTATATAAATCATTTAAGCTTTATTAATATATACATCAAATCAGTATTCTATCAAAGCAATGAAATAGAGATTTTTAAAAAGCTGTTTGATAAGTGGTTATGTACCATAGGCCCCTGGAGTTCCATATCCACCTTGCCTCAGGCCGGCCCTACCTCCCAATCCAAGAGATCTGTAACCTCCTGTGTGAAACAATAAAAAGAACACATTTAATAACGGTGGCGAGTACCACAGACAGAAAAAAAGGATAATCATTCAGTAGCATTAATCCAACTTTAGTGAGACATTATTTCTCTGCATCAATACAGAAAGTGTTCTCTTACTTCGCATTTCACCTCAAGGATAGAAAGAAAATCCCTTTTTTTTCAAATGGGAAAGGTCCTTCACAACTGTGTTAATTTATCTGTGCCACGAAACAGGCATTATATAAATGTGTGTTGAAGAAAACTTACCAGCACCAAGCTGAGCCCCTGAATAACGTCCAACTAAAATATGAAAAAAAAAGAAAAACACAGATTAAACATATCGAAAATGAATGTGCACAATGCCCTACACAGTATGTTAAACAGAAGTTAATCATACGTCCAGTCTTCATTGCTTTGCTGCCATATCGGCTTCCCAGTGCTCCAAGGGCACCTGCAACTGAGAAACGTGGAAAAAGAAAGAGTCAGATATTGTATTAACCACTCGAGGCCCAATGGAGGTGTAACAATTCTTAGCCTTAACCTGAAGTCTTTGCCTTTCACTATGTTTGGTCAAAGGATTTATTACATTGTAAATGCTTTAATTATAGTTATATATAGTTAGTTATAGTTTAATTATGTTTTATGATTTCATTCTTGATTTTATTTTATTTTAATCTCATTCATCATAACCCTGTAGCTGTAACAGTTTTAATTAGGTCGTTTTGAGTATGTCTCCTTCACTGTCTCTCGAAGTAAAGGCTATATGTATGTATAAGTCGGAGCAAGAAATGTATGTTATGTATTATGATCCATTATGACTAGAACGTTCAGAAGTGCTTTGACATTTATGTAGGCTACCATCAGGGCTGTAGTGCAATTTGTAAACCTGAGCAGTGCGCTCACTTGACGCACTTGCATGTGTGTTAAAATGTGTTGATAAACTTAAACTAGCCTACATGTTGTAAATTTGATGTGTTAAAAAATATTGTTTTATAAAGCTTAGCCAATGGAAATAATAAATGTAATTAGCCTAACACTTAAACTGTCTTCTGAATGACACATATATATTTTATGATAAATCTGTGCACAAACCAGACTGTAAATATTGAGGCACAAACTTATGACTCAGTCGGTGAAGGTGTTATTATTCATATTTTTATTAATACTAGCCTATTTTTACATTTGATTATAAGCTCTTTCACTAAATAACAATTTGGTCTTTTGTTGACGTGTTAAGAAACTACTTACCTCCAGGTTTTACTCCAACGCCAACACCTGAAGAAAACAAAACCCAGAGAGGAGGAACTTAAAAACAAAAATGGCAATCCATGTTCACTCGGAGCCTAGATCATTAAGATAATTTTCGATACAAACAAATTCCCAATAAAATTTAACTTTAACTTTAGGTTATACATTTCACGGTCATACAACCCTTATTCAAACTAAGTAAAAAACAGAGTAAATAAATAAATAAATAAATGAATAACCGTTGTGAGTTACCTCTCACTGGCAACACTCTCCCCCAGGACACAGTTTGTGGTTGAGGTTTAACCCCTGTGAAAAAAATGGTAATAACTTTATAAAAAAACATTGTGGTCTACTTTTTTCTGGCATTTTTTTAGAAGGACAATAATGTCTGACACATTAAGAAGTAGGCCTGTAAAAAATAAGAAAATAAAAACAAAAAACTTTTGAAAGTTGCACCAACTGCAGATAAAATCACCAGCTATGATGTGTGTTTTTACTGTGCATTCGTTTTATAGAAATGATAACAATAATAATATTAACAATAATGTGAGTAAATGTGACTAAATATTTAACTTCTGTGCCTTTAAAATGTGTAGGCTACATTTTGGCTGAAGGAGTAGTTGAAGGGGTACATTGATATTAAAATAAACTTCCTGTTTACCGCCTTAATTGTTGTCACAAAATCAAATGTTTTGAACTGACCTCCTCAAATATAATCAGAAAATATTGGAAGAGATATTTACTGTAGATGACAGCAACAGGCCTACAGTTGGCTATTACGTCCACATTAGTGTCTCATGAATACTGACACCTGACCAGACAACAGAAGTAGAGAGGAACACTTATCCATTGATGTAAAACACAGGATCAGCCAAATTGGAGCGACAGTTTGGAGCCTGTATTTTTTTTTTTCTCACATTGGGTCGTGAGATTTTACCAACTTCTGCCATCTTTTCATCTAATCCTTTGATTCAAAGGTATTAGATAATCAAAACCACAGTGACTTGGCAGGATGATTGTAGGAGGGGAGGGAATAGAGTCTTTCTCTCTCAGTCTCACAGACATGAGATGTAACAAGTAAATGAGAGTGAGGCAGTGCAGGTCCAAGACATGAGAGAGCTCAAGGGGAAATCATACAATATATGCACTATGTGATGTGAATAATGAAAAGAGACATTAACCTCGTTAATGCTATCTGTTTGTTTGCAAAAATAACCCTTACATTTAACAAAAAATAAATTTGCAGGAATTATCAGATTGTGATTTACATTTTTGAGGTTAAAAATTGGCAAGTCATTTTCATTTAATTTTACGTATTTTTTAATATTCCCACTAAACTGAAATGGATCAACATAATCACTAATATATACTGTAAAATGATAAGTAATACTTTTACAAAATGTATAGAAGACAACAGCAAAGAAAATAGAATGTGATTTGGCAAGAGCACAAAATAAACATGATCCTCATGACAGGTTTTGCTGACATGATATTTAATTCATAGATGGACTTGTATGGTGCCTTTCTAGTCTCAAATAAAACTCGTTACTTTTTTACACTACATGTCACATTCATCTATTCTCACCACATTCACTCACAGATGGCAGAGGTTGCTATCTGAAGAAATATTCCATTTACACACATTCACACACCACTGGCTTCGCAGCGGGTGCAATTTGGGGTTCAGCGTTGCCCAAAGAAACTTCAACATGTGACTGCAGGATCTGGGGGATCGAACCCTCAACTTGCCATGTTGAGTCACGACCGACTCTATCACTGAGGTACAGCTGCCACAATTAAGACAATCTAAAAAAAACAACTGAAGTATATTTTTACCTTAGTTCACAAATACTGTCCTGTAGTTTTGTTATGTGTAATCATAGACTGTATGTAATCTGTATCTTACCGCCTTGCAGAGTTTGCTGAGCCAACCAGAGAACCAGAGAGGTCTGGAGCAGAGTGTGACCCAGCATGGTGAAGGAGACCTGCGACAAAAACAAAAACCTAGCAAAGAGATCAACTGATGAACAGATGAGCTTAAAGATTGATTCTTTCGGCAAGATGACCACCCCAATGTCTTATATATGGTATTCACTTTGATACACTCCCACTGCCCGGTCCTGCCCTCTGCACACACACACACACACACACACACACACACACACACACATGCTGTCTAAACAGGGCAAAGTCAAAGGGCCCGGCTTGGTCCAGTTCCATTAGCAGTGAATAGAAACACACAAGGCAACTCAGATGATGTATTTTCACCTGCACCTGAAGATTCACACGACTTCTGTGCTTGCCGCTTTGTACATAGAAAATAGGACGTATAGGAGCTGATGTTTGTGATAACAGAAGATAAAGTTGATCTTTTACTATATGCTCCAATGAGTGCACCATTCGATTTAGGGCTCCGTGGTGTGGCAGAGCGGTTCCCTGAGCAGTTATGTAAACAATCAGGATGTTTTCCTCAACAGGAGAAGGTCTTCAAATACATGCAAAAGTGTTTTTTCTATGATTATATTTACGTCCGGGTGGAGAAAAAATAGGTACGACAATTAGCAGCAGAAAAAAGTAAGATGACATTTTGCAAACATGCACACACACACACACACACACACACACACACACACACACATAAATTATACCTGAACAGCCTTGAACAACACAGACATAATTGCTTTCCTTGCCCAATACAGTAAACACACACCAAAATGACTTTTTTCAGGAAATTGGGTTTCGAGAGTTGGTTGAACTCATTGCTTCTGCAAACCAACTCACCTGCGTCAAAGATTGTTAACAAAACACCTGTTTTTCCTTGTAGAGTAAACATTACACCTTCTGAAAACAAGATGGGGAAAATAATTTAAAAAAGCAAGCAAACAGAATGTGTTTGTGTAGTGTGAATGTCCCTGTAAAGAAAAAACTGTGCTACAAATTGCAGAGTAAACATTACATTACTTGGGTTTATATTGTGTGTTTATGCAACAATTAATGCTAAATGAGGAAACACACACTTTTGCTGGAGAAATAAGCCTTAAGGTTGCCATCTTATTGTAATTAAAACCTTGTTTTCTAGCAGTGTGTCTGGTTTTCTACAGGAGACCATTGTAATGTGAACTGAAACAACCTGCCATCTGTCAAAGGGCACTTTGGGATAAATCAGTGTGTGACTACAGTCTGCTGAGCCTGTGTACCAGAAGCATTGGTCCATAGTGGTATCAACACCAGGCTCCAGGATCATGCTCATGTTCTATAGTGTGGGAGGTCTCCTGTGTAAGTTGTAATGTGTAAGTTTATGTCTTGACCTTAGAAACAGCAGCACTCAATGCAAACATCTGGCTCAAGAACCACATTTGAAGGTGAACGGAGTCCGTTGTTTTTATGCTACCTGGGGAAAACTGGTGTCACATTTGCAGACCACCACATCGACTTCCCTGGTGGTACCGAGCATAAGACAATAATATAACCCACGTCTGACTCATGACTCATCCACCCATGAGTCACCTCTAAACATTTATCTGTCTGCATTTTCAGAGGTCCCTATTAAGGAAAACATCTTATCCATAAGGAAAGTGTTGATTTGAATGAGACGAGATGTTATAGCTTTCAACGGAGCAGCCTCTTGTTATCAGAGGTTGGAAAAAGGTGTTGGAGACTTGGCTCATTTAGCCACTTAACGGTGTGAACAGAGGGATCGTGGTTTGTGGAGACGCATCTGGATGGCAGTTTCACTGTGGTCTGGCTTAGCAGAAACTCTCTGTGCCTCAATATATACATAGAAATCATATTGTGTGTGAGTCCGTATGCTGTCCTTACACGTCCTTTAAGGTCAAAGAAGGAGAAAATGTAAAGAGATCTGGAGCTTGACTTCTGTTTTATTAATGCGGTGCCTCAGGATTATGTTTAAAAAAGGTTCAATTAATTCCTGTTCACTAACAAAAGTCAGTTCTATGTTTCATTACAGCAGATATACTTTCCAAGTAAAGATATGACATTTATATAAGCAGAATCCTTCACTACACATTAGCAATGGTATTTTCCCTTAAACTTGTTATTCACCTGACGAACAAGGGCACTGTTTTTCAACAATAGTTCATGCACAAGTACAGAAAAGTGCGTAGCTCTTGTGAGTTATAATGGTTGATCTATCATCAGCCAGAGGGAAATTTGTAACGTCTATAATCATATGCAAACTGACAATTCTAATCAATTCAATTCAATGCAATTAGTTGTATTTGCATGACGCTTGTTTGTACAATGGGGTGTAAACTGATCTCTATTAACAGGTGGCCAAGAATGCTAGAAAACTGTGTGGTAAATCAGAAGAAGCTGAATGCAATCTCCTGGTCCTCATCATCCATTCCTGGCTGTCAATTATAACACTTATAAAAATCGTTATTTACAGATGTCTTCATGCAATTGCACCTAAGAACCTGCTCTTTAACAGCATCTCTCAACACCAACGACTCTTTTCTAATGTTGCTTGTAGCATTTATAAATAATAAGTAATACATGGAAAAGGAAATCTTAGTAAGTCCTCAATGACTAATCGCTGACTACACCATTAGCCCTGAAATGGGCTGTTGCCAAGAGAGGCCACATCATCATCAGACAAAAGCTGATGGGCTCTGAGATTGTTCATGGTATATCCCTGATACATTTTGGGCATGCAGAGAATTACTATTATATTTATTTGGGGAAATGCATATTCTGAGCTGAGAAAGAATTCATAGATCTACAAATAAAAGAGGTTGTAGAGAGTGTTTGGGCAGTCAGGGAGCTGTTGAGGCAACATTTGTGAACAATGCAACTCTTTTGAACGGCTCTTTGGTATTAACAAGTACGCAACAGATTTGTCCCATTTTAACATTGTGCAAACATTTTACTGCCTGCCCTTTGTTCTACTCCTGGTACTCCAGTCCAGTTAGTGACAGCAGTGCACATTTCAGCTGATTTACAAACCAACATTTAACAATGAAGAAATCTAGCCCCCATTGTCCACACTAACAATGAGAACCAGTCAATCACAAGATGTAGACCTGTTTTTGGAGAAAAAGGATATCTAAACTTGGTGTTATTTTGGATAGCTGGAATGTTCCAATTTACCAGCACTTTCATGAACACTGAGAGTTGAGCAGCTTCATAGCAAATTAATGAAGTGGATGTGTTGACTTTTCAGATAAGCTCCTCAAAACATCTTTAGTCCCGAAATCTTCTGAAAGTTTTTTTTTTCCTTGGAGGGGGGACAAGAACAGTGGTGTTTATGGCTGGTTTTATGCTCCTCTTCTTTCACCTTGTTAGACTCTGTGCTCCACCTCCAGGGGGCTTAATATTAACGTTTCGCTCCATGTAGCATGTACACATTAGTGGAAGAACATAGAGACAAAGACTTACAGAGCAATGGTGCTGGCACACTCTTCATGCAGGTGTTTCAAGTGGTCACATTACTTCTTCTTATAGCTAAAAAAAAAAAAAAAAAGCTTTCTTCCTTTATGAGACTGTAAGTAAACACAGCAGATCTTTGACACCTTATAGTTTGTGCACCCCTTGTACAGAGGCTCTAGTACTCTGTTCATGGGCCCGCAGCTCAGGTTCGAATTCGACCATAATATGGCTCCGTCCATTTCCGTCTCTATCCACTGTCCTGTCTCTTCAGTAAACACGCTTTCCACCATCTCTGCACATGCAGGAGCTGCTGAAGTAATGGACAATGTATGAAAGTTTCAACTAAATACATTGTCATACCAGCTTATCTTCTAGATATATGTTCCTTTTGATATTTCTTTTTACAGCACAGATTCGATGTAACAATAATTAGATAGCAGGGTTTTTTTTTCTAAGTCTACATTAAACATCCTGAAAAAGACGGCATGAGAAGTAGGATCTCTCCAGAAACTTGCCCTGATGTGAGCTGCTCTGAAATGACCTCAGGAATATATGGTTGCTATGTTGGCCAGAAGAAGGGAGACACAGATATTTAGGACGGAGTGTTACGACTAACAGGCTGCTTTCACCTCCGTCCAATATCACACACACTTACTGCATCGCACACTCTCCACAGTTGTCTGGCCATGAAACATACACAGACAGAGAGAAGGTTGCGGCTGTTTACACGCCTTTCTATTTGCATAACACAGTTTGCCCACACTTTATGATGACTTATAATGTGAATTAAAAAAAAAACGAAATTAAGTGGTGTCAAACAAACTACTAGCAGGAATGATCAGGGAAAATGTTATGCAGTACTTTTGGAAAATACAGACCCTAGTAAGAGTTTGTTTTATGATGTTAGAGGTTACAGTTTACCTATTTAGCGTGTGTCTGTCTTGCTCTGTTGAGTCTACAGTGTTTCCTCTTGCAGGTTTTGTTTGTATAATCTCTACAACCAATGATATAAATGCTCTACTTCTTAAGTTCTTCTGTTGGTTTGTTGGAGTTGTTGATTTGAGGAGTGGATTTTTTTTTTTAAAGGGGAAACATTATTTAAGCTGTAAAATTGCTTAAATTTAGATATAGCTTAATGGTTAGACAACAAATGCAGACTGCAGTTTAGGCTAGATGATGTCTGAATCAGTGCTTTGGTTCTAACTCAATGCTAACGTCAAAATTCATACAATGACCATGCTGTGATAAGCATGTTCACTGTCCTGATTTATCTCGTTAGCATGCTAACATTGATCATGAGCATGACCAAGTGATGCTCATGGTGATTAATGACATCAGTTTTTGTCATAACCAAGAAGAAACCTTCCTAGTTGGAAAAAAAGAAAAGAAAAGCAGCATTTAGCCTGACTTGAGATTGTTGGCCTCTCAAACTCCAGCAGCACACCTGCAGCAATACCTCCATGCGTCTGTCTGATCTGTCCGTACATGTCTATGCACTGAGTCTTCAGAGACTGAGATGGTGTTTAACATCTGCCTACAAAAACACAAGTGGCAGACATTCAGACTGGCTGCTTGGATGAGTGTCTGACATCACCGCTGGCTCTGGCAGCTGTTTGCACTGCAGCGTGAAGTCGCCCAGACA